CATTTTGTGTCAGCACGTTTGTCTTTGCAGACAAGGAGCTTATGTCAGTATGGAGGCCAGCAGCCGGCCTCCTAAATATAGGCTATCTTCACATTAATTCTTTAGACCTCCGGGTCGTGTGCAAATCTTCCCTATGTCGTACCGAACAGGGATCAGCAGATATTAAACGAGGTGAGATATGCGAGCCCTAAGGCTTTCAAGGCGGTGGGTAATTATAAAGGTAAACGGTAAAGCTATCCCTGTAACAGACCATGGAGTCCCATAGGGTTGAGAGACGTCGAGGTTCCCACATTTTCTAGACAATCGGCTAACAGTTGGCGGTAAGATTGTCAGACTTACAAGCCGGCCACAATTTACCACCAGGAAGGTTCCTGTTACTCGTTTAAGTTAGAGGCTGAAGACCAAAGAGCGGCCAGAAGGATTAGGTCAATTTAAAAATCCAATGACTTTATTTGGAATCCAAATCGACACCGCTTCCTCACGGTTTGTAGCATAGTGCCTCAGCCAACTGCGCTGCCCCGTGCCCAGTAATAGTATAGGAGAATGATTTTCCTCTTCTGCACAGCAACCAGACAGGATCTGGGGCCCTCCAATGGGTACCCATCGCCCTACTCCCAGAGGGGAATTTATATATCCACTCTTCCTTACGTCTTCATGACATGATGCTCAATTAATGACTTTGCCATATCCTACCTTCAGTACACAAGACTGACTCCATGGTACGTGGTATGGACTCACTGTACTCAGCCGAACTCACCTGTTTTTATTCCCCCCTACACAGAATGCGTCGTAACAATGTGTAATTTACAGAAACACATGGCCGCGCCATAGCTCAAGCTGTTGGTCGCTGGCTTCCCACCGCTGTGGTCCTGGTTCGATCCCGGGTCTGGTCAAGTGGGATTTGTGGTGGACAAAGTGGCGCTGGGGCAGGTTTTGTCCGAGTATTCGGTTTCCCCTGCCAATCTTCATTCCACCAGTTGCTCCACAATCACCCTCACCTATCATCTGGGGCTGGTACAATAGGCCAGAAGTGGCCGCAGTACAAGGGACTTAGTCCCACCCCACTAGCAATAAAGAACAAACACAGAAACACATGGATAACAGCATTTGTGTTGCATGGCATTCGACTGACAAAAATAACTCTCACTTGAGGCCTTTTCTGTGTGCTCTTGAATGTGTGTTACTGTCCACACGGGGTTTCGAGCCTTTATTACAACACATGTGACTACACTCGTAACAAATGAAATACTGACTGCCTTGGTTGGCGAAATTGACTCCTACTCCCAAATCTAGACTAAGAGCAGGGATAGCTCAGTCGGTATAGAGACGGGCTGCAACCTTGACGGCCCGGGTTAAATTCCTAGCAAGGGCAAGAGATTTATCTCTGCTTAACAGTGTTCAAAGCGGCTCTAGGCACACCCAGCCTCTTATACAATGGCTACCTTGGGCTTTTCCCCCAGTGTAAAGCGGCCCGGGACCTGAAGCTGACCACTCACTTCCACCCTATGCCGAGCTCCCTTATATCTCCATACTGTGGTGCTTAAATAATTAAGCACAAGTACAAATTTACCCTTGCCCGGCTCTGGACTATCCCGCTTTATGACTCATGTCCACTGCAGTAATGCTGCTCTTGCCATCTGTTGCCCGATCCCGCAACTACAAGATGTCCTCTTTGCTTTCCATCCCATGAAGCTCGAAACGTAATATCCCCAGCCTGTTCTACAGAGCCAGGTTGTTTCAGGGATGCTGGAAAATCCAAACTTCCCTCAGATTTTATTTATTTCTTTATAATTATTAATGCGGGTTTTATAGGCCATATATTTCGAATAATTGACATACGTTTAAGAACTGAACTCTCTCTCACAGGGAAGGAAACTTGTATTCGAGAGATACCTTGCTCAGGCACCAACTGTCTTGACGTAGGTCTTTGGTATTTCTCGATCTCTCCACATGTAGAAATGAGTACCTCAAATTAGGCCACGGCCATTTTCTCCCACATTTTTCAAATTCATTATTCGTTCGTTACCTTACCATTCGAAGCCATATAATCTGTGTTAGTGACAGCGTCGTTAAATAAGTCAAATAAATGAATAAATGAGTACAGGAATTTTTCTGTCAATACACAATTTTCCTCAAACCATTGACATAATTTTTTCCTCCACAACTATCAATCGAAAAATATTCATCCATGAAATATCTGATCCAAAAGATTGTGACGATGACACATCAGTACAAATACATATTATGTTTTTGAACATTATCCATCGTGTTGTCTTTATCTAAAAACCGTCATGTTTATTTTTCGAAACACAACGTTTCGGAGACTGGATTGTGTCTCCGTCTTCAGGTAACACCTCCTCATTTGGGCCTAACAGACAGAGCTAGTCCCTATCTCCGGGCCCTTACGCTCGTTTCAAGAAGAAGTACATAAGTCAAGCACAGCACAAACCATCTGCGAGAGCTAAGAAAATATTCAATTATTGAAACTCCACACGTATGAGGCCTTGCACCAGAGAAATATCTCGATTGAAATCATTGCTGGAGAGAAGCAATACTCATTTTGGTGCCAACACAAGAAAAACAAAATTTTCCACTCTAACTACACTTGACTTCTGCTGTGATGACAGGGTCCAGATGGGAGAGATATCCACAGTGGTTTGACTGATCTGATGGTCCAGCAGAGACAAGTGGGCTGATTCCTTGTATTTCCTGTACGTGGTGTTGAGCTCAGTCTGCAAGACCTTCGCTTCATTCCAACATACTTTGTGGTCACCCTCGTATGCATGTTGGGCTAATTTAGATTTTTCCAGAAAACTGTCTGTCAAGTTATATTTGTGCTCCTTAATGCGTACTTCTAGGGGTCTTCTTGTTTCGTCGATGTAACATCTGCCGCAGTCGCATGGGATGCTGTACACACACGGATTCGTCTGCTGGGCATGTCTAACCAGTCCAGTCCCACGGAGGGTATGTTTAGTTTTGAAGTTGGTTCTGAAATGGAAACGGTTCCCTATGGGTCGGAATTTCTCGTAAGTGCCCTTGACTTACAGGATAAGGACAGGACCCTGGTATACTCTGTCTAAAGAGGGGCGATTTCTTGCCGATGGCTTCATTACAGAGTCAACTACGTACTCGTAATTCTTTGGATATTCAATGAACATCAGATCATGTCTCATGTTCCTAATTTCGTTGTTCTTGCCGATGGCTTCATTACAGAGTCAACTATTTCTTTGGATTTTCAATGAACATCAGATCATGTCTCATGTTCCTAATTTCGTTGTTAAAATCTGGTTTTGGCACATGACCTTCGCTTAATTGACTGAATTATGAACGACTCCCCTTTTTACGTGATGTGGATGTTGGACTTGAAGTGAAGATAACGATCGATATGAGAAGACTTTCGGTACACTTTGGTGGTCAGTTTAGGACCCCGCTTCGTAACCAAAACGTCCAAGAATGGAAGGCCATTATTAACTTCAACTTCCATAGTGAATTTGTTGGTAGGCCTGATGCTGTTGATATGATGAAATTCCTGTAACTTTTCTGGTCCATATGGCCATAGCACAAATGTGTTGTCGACGAATCTTAGCCATTTATCGGGTTTCTATTCAGCTGTGTCCATTGCCATTTCTTCAAAATGCTCCAAGAAAATATTACTGACCACCGGAGATAATGAGTTTCCCATTGCCATACCTTCCTTTTGCTAGTAGAGTGTATCTTGAAACTGGAAGTATGTGGTTGTTAAGCACATGTCCAGGAGTTCCACNTCCCGTCCTCAACTTGTAAAGGTGACCGCTCTGGGAAGGCAGGATCCGTTCTGAGTCTATTTCTTATGTCATGTAGGACCTCTTCCACTGGTACCTTGGTGAACAGACTAAAGGTTCGGCCACACAGAGCGCTACGTACGCTATGTTCGCTATACGAAGAGAAAAATATCTCCATTTATTGCCAATGTGACTGGCCACACAGACTTCCGTACGCTACGTACGCTATGTTCCCTATGTTAGTTGCGTCGCAGAGTGTACACAGCGTACGTAGCGAACATAGCGTAGCGCTCTGTGAGGCCGAACCTTAACAACGTCAAAACTTACAAGGCAGTCTCCTTTTTGCAGGTTGATATCCTGTATTGATTTTATAAAATGTTCCGAGTTGTTTACGAAGGAACCTGTGTTGCCAGCCAGAGGGCTGGCCCAACGAATTGACTTCCTTGGACTTCGGAAGAAATGCCATGCGGACGCACTCTACCTTCTCATCGGAGACATGCCCTTTCAGGCCGCTCCTAGTCTCTAGAAACTTGTTGTGATAAGCTTTCATCCTCTTTGCGTCTGGTGCTACATTCTGATAAACATGACGAAACTCCTTTAAAATGGACTTAATCTCAGAAAACCACACAACTCACGCCTTCTCCTTAGCCGACGCCATATTTGCGTCAAATATCAAGAGCGCCCCAACGGTGGCCCGTGAGATAGCCTAAAAATTTACTCATGAATTCGAATTCCTTTAGTAGGCAGGAGATCCTTAACACCTCAAGAAAAAACTTGTGTCTATTTTTTTTAAAACACCTTCAAAATCTGGACGTTTCATTGTAGACACCTTGTAGCAGTATCAGCGGCCATAGTATCAGCAGGAAGGTTTCTTAATTAAATGACGAATATTAATTTAATCAGAAAAGGCCATAAAAATGTGTTTATTTCTGCTATCCCAAAAATGGGCGAGACCGGAATGTGTCAGCCCTTATAGCCATGGGTTAGGGGCTGGAAGGCCGGGCAAGGGACTATATCTGGGGCCTAATCACCCTCATATCCCATTGACGCTCTTTACCCGGGGGTAAAGCGGAGGGGACGTGAAGCTGATCACTCACACCCATGTATTACCGAGGTTAAGAATGCCTGAGCTATACCACCACTCCTCCTTACAGTCATACATTACCTTAACATGTATGGCAAGAAGACTCCCTCACCCAGAGGTACGTATCGGTTGCTAAGCAATAATACTCTCTGGTGTTTATTGTCTTTTGTTTGACAGTTCATGCAATATATTTGAGTCGTTTTATGATTGTAATTACATGTGGATACATAGAGTGAAATATACTAACTATTCATCATTAAACACAGCTTTGAATTCCATTACTGAAAGGCAACACTATAGAATGACTGCCCACGAATTTTCAGGGATGTTGGAAAGTGACGTCAGGACTCCTGTTCGCAGAAGAAGGCCAGTCTATACGAACAGTAGACGTCGTTCAAATGGCCGTATCGCGATATGCTTCCGCAGTTCTCATTTCCATTAAGGTTGTTGGGCTCTGGGGAATCCCAAAGTGCGAATCCCGTGCTTTCCAGAGGTTTCCCTGCAAAAAGCTTCAGTTGTAACGAAAACAGCTGTACTCAACATGGAGTAGATCATGTACATTGTCTTAACCAAGATGGATGTCTGGAGATTTTAAACATTCCTTGGCTTAGATTTTTATTTACAACAGACCCGACTCCATTGCTGTAAATACACCTAAATATAGAGCTGAAGAGATGACTTTCATATAAAGTAGACAATTTCAATATACATACTCGCTATATGAACGAAGATAAAGGTAGATTTGTCCAGGGGCGTAATTAATTAAACACTACGCCATGAATACGTATGGGGGTTGTGGACGTATTGACGAGATTTTCTTGACCTCGGCTCTAGTTGGAGCTTAGTGATAAGCTACACGACCGTGTCGCTTTACCCCCCGGGGAAAAGCCCCCGGTGCCCATTGCGTACGAGGCTGGGTAGGCCCTGGAACATTCTGGACTATTTGGAGAAGGAAAATTCTTTACCCTACCGGGACTCTAAATCCGACCTCTCGGTCATTCAGCCCGTAGCCAGTCGCTATGCCCACAATTAGTGCCGAGGTCAAGAAAAATTGTGGATCTATACATCCACTCCCCCATGCGCCTTCATGATGTAGTGCTTAATTAGTTAAGCACGGGGACAACTTTACGTTTGGAAACAAAGAAATTTTTAATAGAATTCCACTGCTTAAGTCAGTCGGATTCTTTTTTGTTTCTGACATGTATGTTGTGGCTGGATGCGTCCTTCCCCTAATCAGTCCAATTAAAACCACGGTCCATGTAAGGACCACATTAGAGTTTATCACCGCTTGACAAGACCGGACCGCATTAAATTGAATCCTGATTGGATGACAGGTCGTTACCTCATGTTCTTTGGGTCATTACTTTAAAGTGAAAACAACAGCACAGCCACTCGTTTATTTTAAAACATTAGACGAATGATAAAGCTACACTCGTATTAAATTCGCTTATATTTCGAGGGCGCCTTTTCTTTCATAGCGTACTTCTTTATCGAGAAGAAATGAACCCCAGATAGTGATATGCGTAACATGATTGCACGCTCGGAGGAAAGGAACACAATTTCCACAGATTAATTGTTTGAGTTTCAGAGATGGGGGTGTCATGTTTCCAGACATGAAACTGTTCGTACCGAACAGTTGGAATCACCAATTAGGAAAAAAAGAAAGCTCTCTTACCTCGGTTTTTGTCCTTGGCACTACAGCCCCAGTGGGCCTAGGCCTACCCATGAACTTCTCCGTTCACTTCGGGTTTTCTAGATCTTACACATTCGGTAGGACTCCTTGGGCGGGTGATCAGCTCGTCGCAAGGCCTCTACCTGTACACAAACACAGAAAAACGGACACACACAAACTAAACATCCATGCCCAGAGTGGGATTCGAACCCACGATCCTGGTTTCCAAGCGAGCGAAGACAGTACATGCCTTAGACCGCGCGGCTACCGTGACCGGCAGTGTATAAGAATAATATATAAGAATTCAGTTCGTACCTCATAGGAAACAGATCCGAACCCACGATCCCGGTTTCCAAGCGAGCGAAGACAGTACATGCCTTAGACCGCTCGGCTACCGTGACCGGCCCTCTTACCTTGTATCGTGAGGAATTCGCCTTCAACGAATCGGTCATGCAAGCCAATGAAAGCCCAGCTGCTTGTGACTACATCATTAATGACTGGCGCCAAGGCATATAAATCATGCAGAACTCTCCACTCGGTTTCCGAGTTTATGACAGCGAGATGACTTCCCTCCTGGTCACAGATACGCCTTGCTTCATCCCAGGTCTTGCCAGTCGTGTGGAAGCTGTAGCGTATAACATCGGAGAGTTGCTGTTGTCCTGGTGCGGAGTTGGCGACTGAGGCTTTGGAATTAGATGCTGAAACATGGCAGTTGCGCGGTGTTACTCTGCTCCGAATTCCAGAAGCGCTATCTCCTCCAACAGCCACAAGCGCGTACATGGGCTTCAGTGGCAAGCATAATGCGACACTGTTTACTAACCATTATTTAAAAACTAAATACGTACAAAATTATCCCATTGAAAGAATTTACACATCTGAAACCTTTTTTTTTTTCCTTGGCACTACAGCCCCAGTGGGCCTAGGCCTACCTCCATGAACTTCTCCGTTCACTTCGGTTTTTCTAGATCATACACATTCGGTAGGACTTCTTGGGCGGGTGATCAGCTCGTCGCAAGGTTTCTACCTGTACACAAACACAGAAAAACGCACACAAACATCCATGTCCTGAGTGGGATTTGAACCCACGATCCCGGCTTCCGAGCGAGCGAAGACAGTGCATGCCTTAGACCGCTCGGCTACCGTGACCGGCCTCTGAAACCTTTACCACAGTTTATTACATGTACGCACCTTGAATCTAACTCTTTCTGTGATCCATTTTCATCTGTTATTTAATATTAAGCTTTTTATTTTCTGGCCATCTCTGGTATGGTATCAGAAAATATTTTTTTCAAAGGTTCCATTTGAAAATAAGAACATAGACAATAGTATCAATTCCTACAACACTATCTGAGGAGCAGGCGTTGCCAGACAACAGCTCCGTAAATACGGTCCAACATGCAACAGTAGATGAAGCTGCGTTTTCTATGTCGTCCGCGCCAAGCCCAGAGCTGCTAACAGACCAATGAACTTGCAGTCTGACACGTGACACGTCTTTTCTGTGAGGTCCCTGTCGAAGAATTATAAGAGGTTCCAGAATAAGCGAGATGGCAAACCCGGGTGGAGGCGGAGTCGAATACCTCCACCGTGACCCTGCGAGTGGTAGGAGGCGACGAAAAGGGAAGTCTCAAATCTGAGACAGTAGAATATGATCACAAGTCCCAAGGGACTCTGACCCGAGAAAGACTGCACTGGCAAGGGCCAGCAGCATATACTTAAGACACCCGTCCTCTCGTCAGAGAGGGCGCCCCACAAAAACAAGACCGTAACTGTCAAAGGTAATAAATATCTGGTCATGACCCCCAGATGGGGCTCGACACCGAGACTTACTGACTGAGTGACTGACCGTCAGTCGCAATGTCACTTTGACTTTGACCGAGATGGCAGTCCAGGAGTGTTGCGTTGAGAGATCAGCTCTGTACGAGAGGCTCTGAATAAGACAGTTGCAAGAGTGCGGCTATCAAGAGAAGACTTCATAGTATTTGGAGTGTGTAATTCAGTAGGACTGTTATAGTTCCTGTGTTATAAATCCATTGTCAAGAAACGGATATTGAAGAAGTTATTTGTTTTATAATTACAGTAATCCTTAGAATGTTAAAATTAATTGTAGTTACGACCTGTAGGTAGTCAATAAATCCAATTACCAATCCGAACCACGTCTTTAGTCACTTATATAAGTAACAATACCTAATTTTCCCTTAGCAGTCCCAATTTCATCTTTGCTGCATATGTACCTGTTATTCTCCAAGCTTCATAAGATTGGGGGGTGTAACCTCTGACACAACAGACTCACAATAGCGGGTATGTGAACACTACACATATGAATCATTCAAAATCACATACTGATGGCAGAAAATTAAAATATTATAGAACACAATACCGGAAATTTGAAGATATCTCGCGTGTTGTGCCCAAAATCGAAATAGAACTTAGGACTGTTCGCTGCACAGTAATTTGCTCCAAACCGAAGTGCCACTGACCTGTCTCAGTCTGGGCCGAGCTGGTCTGCCCCTTGTTATCACCATCCTCCAGTTTGACCTGTAATCACATCAGGTATGGACGTGGTATACACACAAGTGGAGCCATCTGAATAACATAGCAAGCGTTTCTTTCGTATGGGCTGCACGAAGAACTGAAAATTCTTTTCATTGCCATGCCAATTTACCTCATCAAATCTCCTTTTGAAGAATGCCGTTTCTGGGATGTGGCACCGTGCAGATCTTGTGTGGGAAACGTTTCGGAGGAACATATCGCCCCTTCAAAGTAGAAAAATCTGCGAGCGACGAACCAGCATGAGCAGGTGGCTGCAGACCGAGTCACCAGTCGAAAACACCCCGACACAATCCTAATCTGGCTATGCCTTGCTACCTGCTAGCCCATCTCCACAGACCCTCCCCCTCTCCTCTCTATTGATTTTCTATATAGTCCACTCTTCCTCCCTTCCTGTTTTTATATACCTGGGTGTTTTCCACTGGTAACTCAGTCTGCAGCCACCTGATCAAGCTGGTTACTCGCTCGCGGATTCTTCTACCCTGAAGATGGAGTAGATACGTTCCTCCGAAACGTCGGTTCACAGAATATCTACACGGCGCCACGTCCCAGAAGATGGCAATCCTCATAGTCACCACCGTGAAAACCTCAAATCTCACAAATCTCCTTTTATAAATGGAAAAAACTTTCGTAAATTTCAAATAATTGTTGCACATAGTGTTTAAATGTCGATCACATTGATTCATAATTCGCTGAATCGCGTTTATATTTACGCTTGGCACATTTTACGGCAAGTAATTGTTAATAAACTATTGCAGATACACATTTGCAACAGCACTAATAATTTAAGTAAAAATTCTATTTTTTAACATTTTCATATTTGCGTTTGATTGTTATTCTAATTCATATATTTTGTTATGGGTACTGGAAATAGTGGCAAAATTAAATTATTTGAGAAGGACAGTATGACATTAATAAATATTATTCTCAATGTGAAATTAAACTGGACCTCAGGAACTCTTTTTACTTTTAGGTCTTTCGATTTGGCTGTTGACTAAACCGACCTAGATTTCAGTGATATTCCTCAGTTATATCATGCAATTTTCGGCATAATATTATAATAATAAAATGTTCGCTACCGGTTACTCAAAATTTGTTGAATTTTATCAGACACTGATATGAACTCATGGTATCAGAAGACAAATAGCCATTACACGTCATACAGCCTTGAATGTCAGTCCAAGTAGGATAATGTACTTCTAATTCGAATATTGAAATAAATGTTATACGAAAAACTTTGAAGTATGTGACTTTCATGGGTCTGTAAAGATGACGACATTTTGCGAACTGCAAAGCAGCTGATTTATATGAATATTAAGCATTTTGAGTATTCAGTAAAGCAAGCTATGCAGTTCCTAATACAGTAAGTGGCAGTTCTCACTCTGGTGGTGAGTAGACCGTAACTTCCTAATCAGACCCTTCTCCACGTCACTCTTGTGAATTACCACTACGTAAGAGGCAGCACTTCACCTGTGCCACTAGGTGGCCCGTCTGGTTCCTGCGATATGTGACTAGCACAGTGATTTTAGGTGAGTCGAGAGCTGGTCCCTGGGTCTGCGTGAGAGCGGCTGCCGAGGTGGAGGTCTCTGCCACGAGAAGTGGATCACGAATGCTGGTGGCACGGCACAAAAGAGCCATCAGCAATATCTGCAGCAACGAAAAGATCCTCGTGGTTGCCATGGTAACTGAAACAAATGAGAAAGCTAACAAACGGTGCGAATACTTGTGTACCGTATATGTCGGGCTGATTTCACACCGTACAAGTTCTGAAGGGTTTCTTGCATCCTGCGCAGGAACGTGAGCAGAAGCAGCAGCGGTCCGCTTGTAGCGCTGCTCTTTGCGTCGCCCGAAATTTCACAGCTATAGTCGCTATGTAGGCACTCATAGCTATCTCAGATCAAGCTACCGCGAGTCTGACTTAAACTTGTGGGGTTCTTATTCGAAACTCGGAAGTGACTTAGATAATCGAAGCCAATTCCGGATAATTCTATGGGTAAATTAGTCTTTTCCGCCCCGATATTTAAAATCTCTCCATCGTGTGATCGGTTCTAAATACACTGTACCTAAATAAAGGGGAAATCACAACAAGCAGGCGCTCATTTGAACAAGTTGGCAGGAGTTTCATTATAAGATGAGTCATTTACTTGGTTATAACCAGTTATTGTATCGCTTCATGCCCTTCATGATTTTCCTCATTAACCTCAATCGAATGTGAGGATAGGACCTTGAAACAAGACACGATATGCTCTGTATGGACCCATATAAATTTTCCATTCTCGATTTTCCTTGAATCTCTAATTCTATATAAATTGGCAGTGTAGTGCCCCTTGAGGGTAGACACGTCATGAATAACCTTGCAGTTACTTACTTATTTGCTTACTTATGGAGCTGATCCCTTCTTGAGGAGAAGCCATATCTGCAGCTACTCAAGAATTCCCCAGCGTTTTATGGAACCCGAAGATTCATTACCGTGTTCACAAGAGCCCTCTACTGGTCCCTATCCTGAGCCAGACCAGTCCAATCCATATCATCCCATCCTATCTCTCCAAGATCCATTTTAATATTGTCCACCCACCTACGCCTTGGTCTTCTCAGTGATCTCCTTCCTTCTGACTTTCCCACCAATATCCTATATGCATTCCTCTTCTCCAAAATTCGTGCTACATGCCCTGCCCACTTCATCCTCCTTGACATGATCATTCTAATTATACTTGTAGAAGAGTACAAGTTATGACCTAGAAGTTACATCCATCATAAATGCAGATCCTCTTCTAGGGTCTAGTGTTCTTCTTATAATTACATAGCAATTATTTCACAAGTGACCTGTAGTTGAAACGACCTGGAAAGACACGAACATTAAAATCCAAATATTTTTTTATGAAGTGAATCTAATTAGTGTACGGACATTCTATGTCATGTACGGCTTGAGATCTCGTATCCGTTATCATGTTGCAATGTGATGCTCGTTCTATTGATTTATCGGATCTGAAATGGATTAGTTGAATTATTATTCACAACAATGTAAAAGCAAAAATTATGAAGGTAGAATACTTTTATTATTTCTGACATAATTCATCTTCTTCCAAATATAGTATTTAATATGCGAGTACACCTAACTTACGAGTAAGCTCCATCTGTCTTGCGATCACGTATATAAAATTTGTATGGGAATCTACTTTTGTGGCTAAGCGATCCTTAACCTGAATATAGTGAACCAAGAGAAAGAAGTAATTTGGAACTTCAGTATATCATGCTGCTCACCATATGTAGGGTGAGCTTATCGTGGACGGTGTTATTTCTTGGGTGTCCATTAGTTGATCTGATGGTGTATTACACGGGTTTTTAAAAATTGATGTGTGAATATGCATATTCTTTCGACCGACTCAGAATGGTTACGAGTGGATGTGACACTGAAACGTCCGATTTCATGACGCGAAGACTGGTCTTTGGCTGATTGAAAAACTCTCGAATTCTAAAAAAAAAAAAAAATGTTCATCGTGGAGCTCCTAACTTATACAATACAGACATCGCATGCAGATTGTAATATCCGAAGGCATCCCTAACAGTAATCACTCACTGAGACATGCAAATGAAACTAGAAGCTTCTACCTCCCTCGTGTAACGGACTGTACCAACATTGGAGTCTATGTCACCCTTGTTGCTATGCTATCTCTGTCCTCATTTGCACAAAACCTCTGCAGGTACGAGTATCGTGTGTTCATTGTCGAAAATTCCTTCCCAAGAAAATCATATGCCCCTCTTTGTGATGCATTTAGCAACGCATACCAAATAAGGAAGCAGATTCCAGTAAACCTATACATAACACTACTTGCTTACCTAAGGAATAATTTCGAACAGAAATCAGGAGCTAGTAGAGGCAAGAGAGTTAATGTTTGAAAGCGTAATTTTAACTAGATGCCAGACCTCTTAACAAACTACAGCTTACCTCGAACAGGAGCGGTGTTCTATGCAACATCTACTGTATCGTGTCTTTTATAGTACTCTGCCCCTCGTATTTAAATAATTAATGCGGAAATCTGACTGCTATAAAACAATAGGCTCTGTATAAAAAAACTCGGGTTTTTTGAGTAACTAACACTTCAAATACTTTTATGGATTATTTTGTAAATAATAAAGTCCTGTAGATTCGCTAGAGCTTTCTGTGACGGCAGATTCTCTGCAGTGTGTTTCGTAACTCTAAGCCTAGTGTGTGGAATTGATTGCTGGGGGAATTTGTTATCAGAACATTTTTCGTGTAGGAAACAATAGTCCATATATAAATCTTTGGGTTCTTTGCACAGCTAATGCTTGAAACACTTTGGGGGACAAAGTTGAGTATGTTCATTAGATTATTTTCTGTGCCGAGAATTTCTCTGTAGGGTCTTTCGTAACCCTAAGTCCAATGTTTCGAATTAATTCCTGCGGATAACTGTCAGCCAGTGGACAGCTCGTGCACGAAACAGTAGGCTCTATATAAACCTTCAAATTGTGTGTACAGCTAATGCAGGGTAACTGTTATATTTCAGTTGGTTTCCTCGAAAATGTACGTGTCTATACCTGGAAATTTTTACGGGCGGGATTATTTCCGAAAAACATAGAATAAAAAATTATTGTTTTCTTGCATTTATTAGAACAGATACCAATATAATCAGTGATACTGAAATATGACTCATTGAGCTCTTTCATTAACATACAAAGAATACTCTTTTTCAAATTCAGTAGCTTTTCATAATAAGATGATTCCTCTTTATGGCCAATAAACATTCTTGTGCATGAATTTAGACTTCTTAAGGATTGTAAGTTTTGAGGTTTTCACGGCGATGACTATGAAGAAAGTCGTCTTCTGGGATCTGGCGCCGTGTATTCTTTGTTTCAGACGACGTTTCGGAGGAACGTATCGCCTCCATCTTCAGGGTAGGTGAGCAGTAGCGAGCTACTGCTCTCTGTATTCGCAACGCAATTCACCTGCCCTGAAGATGGAGGCGATACGTTCCTCCGAAACGTCGTCTGAAACAAAGAATACACGGCGCCAGATCCCAGAAGACGACTTTCTTCTTCAGAATTGTTTCGAATTTAGCTATTGGCCACTACTGAATATTTTTTTGCATTTTTTGCTGAATTTGAAGCAATCCTGAAGAAGATTCCATTCGAATTATACATTGATGTGATAGATTCTCGCGAGCCGGGGTAGCGCAGTCAGTATGGCGATTGAAAAAAGCAGTCTTCTGGGATTTGGCACCGTGTATATGTGGTGTTAACCGACGTTTCGGAGGAACGTATCGCCCCCATCTTCAGGGCAGTCTGCTTCAGTCTGCTTTACCGTGTCTCACGGTGTTGTCGCTTGCAGATTTACTTATACTTTTTCTTCAACCCTGAAGATGGGGGCGATACGTTCCTCCGAAACGTCGGTTAACACCACATATACACGGTGCCAAATCCCAGAAGACTGCTTTCTTCATAGTCACCGCCGTGAAAGCCTCAAATCTTACATAGTATAGCGATTGGCCACGGGCTGGACGACCGAGGGATCGGAGTTCGAGTCCCGGTATGATCATAAATTTTTTCTCAATATCGTCCAAAACGGCTCGGAGGCTCACGCTGCCTTCTATCCAGTGGGTAACGGGGAATCTTCCCCGGGAATAAAGCGGCAGGGGCGTGAAGCTGACCAGTCACCTCCAGCTAGTGCAAATGTCAGGAAAATGTGGATCTATACATCCATTCACCCATACGTCTTCGTGGCGTAGTAATTAATTAGTTGAACACAGGGACAGTTTTACCTCTACAGAGGGGTTGCGTTCCTGCGTGGTGCGTGCCGAGGAGTTTTCTGGAGTACAACTGGGGCGACCCAGACACGAAAGATTAGCATATGCTTTGCAAAGCCTGTACTGACAGAGAACTTGTATACAGTGAAAAAGGCAGAATTTTAAATAACATGCTAAATGTGCGATACCTTCACTTGCAGAAACGCCAAGCATATTCGTAAGAGGCAAACCAATCTTCTCGTCAGAGAGGGTGTCACGTAAGGTCTATGACCGCGATTGTTCGTTCGCGCGTCTCAAGGGGCTTGACGCCAAGACGAACTGATTGGCGGTAAACCGGCAGTCTTAAAGTGATTCTGACTCTGACTCTGATCCAATTGAAAGTCAGGCTATGGTGAGAAGACTAGGAGTTTCGTGTCAAATGGCCGCCAGTCTGGAAGTTGTCAGTTGTCAGATGAGAGAGTTCATTTCTGTACGGGAAGCTGTGAAGAAAAGAGTTAATCACAAGTGTGAGACAGTGTAGGGAAGGCTTTATGTGTATTAATTTGATTGTGTAATTCGATGAGTCTGTTATAGTTCCTGTGTTAAAATCCGTTGTTAGAAAATGGCTAGTGGAGACTGTAATACACTGAGGACGCCGGGTCAGTAATCTGCAAAGTGTAGTCAGGAGTGTATAAGTAGTCATTAAACCTCTTCACCAATTCAAACCTCGCCTACAATCACATATTCACGTGACAACATATATATATATATATTGTGGCATATAGACCCGTTACTATGCAGTGAATCTGTATATACGTGTACATATAATCCAATAACACTGTCTTCAGTCCAGACTGCGTAGCATCGAATGATAGGATATGAATGAATTGTGGAAATATAGAATGATGCAATGCTGTCTGACTTTAATATACAGTACTATCCCAGCAAGTCCTTGTGAAGGAAGTTTCATACTTCTAAAGTCTCTAGTAACAGAGCACGACCTCACAAGGCAACACAACAACGGAACGAGATCTCAAGCCGCAAGTGCCGTAGACTGACCCTAAACTGATCAGATTTAAAAGATAAGAAGGACATTATGAACCCAAAGACTGGGTCTCTCCAGGTGTTTTCAAATGAATTTAAGTTGTAAAATAGTTACTTCCAGAATATACGAAAATACGTATTATTTAATTTTTAGACTATTCCTGCCTTACGTATACTGAAGGAGCATTAGAGTGCAGGATTTATATAGAATTAAAGAGATGTGAGAGGAATTGAGAGTGACGAACAGTTATAAGGTTATACAGAGTACATCGTATGTACTAAGCTCATATTCGCTAAACTTTACTGAATAAAACCATGAAGAAGCTGAATGAGTACAGCTGCTAGTGACATTCGCGGCAGGTTCTTCCCATTGTCGTCTTCAACGGCTCAGTGACGCGCCAAACTGCTTGGTCAAAAGGACTGCTACATCTTGTGATATGCTGTTTATTTAGACACAGTGTATCATCTGCGGAGACTGCTTAGAAATCGACGACACAGCAGAGCGTTTATGACAGGCAGGGTGGAAAAAACTTTTCAATATATAGAATTATCTGGCGCGGAAACTTATGCACCCTCCTCGCCACAGGTTACGTCACTTCCGAGGTTCGAACAAGAACCACGCCAGTGTAAGTCAGACTGGCGATAGGTTGGTTAAAGCTGATAATCACACTGTGCATAAGCGATTATATCTGCTAACTAACGGGGCAGTCCATCATGTAAGTAAACGAGTAGGGACTCCTCTGTGCCTTTCTGCTAAAACCATTGCAGCAACGTTAGCTGACCGGACTGAGGAAATCCACGAAGAATATGCATAGCCTGTGTCGGTTAAGGCTCAGTTGCTTCTGAATACAAAATTTTCCATCAGCCTGATATTTACGGGACACACGTATTAAGGCCGTTCACAACTGTCGTATTTGCCTCAGTTACCATGACAACTGTCAAGGCCCTTACGTTGCTGCAGATACTGCTGATGTCTATTGCGTGTGTTATGAAGACAAATTTCGTACTTCTTAAATCTCTACAAAACATGGACCATAACACCACATTACAACACGACGACGCAAATAAAGCTTCCGAACATCACGTGGCATAGACTGCCCACACGTTGATTAGATTGACTTGCAAGAAATGATACTTAGAAGATAAGTCTGAGTCTCTTCAGGCCATTTCAAATAAACTTCGCTTGTGACATAAGGACTTTAAAATTATGAAAAATAACATAATCCGTGTAGATGTAGTGTTACCCGCAAGACACTGCACATGGAGGATGCATACACCTTGAAATCGTAGGCAAAATTTCCCACAGCCAAAAAGACCCGAGAGCAGCACCATCATAAATATCTTATTAAAATTTGAGAAAACATAACCTCCAAATTATCCATTTACAGCAGAAATCTTACTTTTCGAATATCTCCTCCTCTGTACATAAACATCAGTTAATCAAGAGATCAAAACCATATCTCAATGAGAAATGTTTCTTTAAAAAAATGTCATTCACGTGCTCCTGCTTATATACTGCAGGTCAAATAATAAAATTTCATTCCTAACATTGCAAACGTGGTAAAAGTTCCCTTAAGCGATCATACAGCATACAAGTTTACATCAAGCCTCACACTATTTTCGTGCTCCACAACAGGAGAAATAGGGTTCTTTTTCGCAAGCAGTGCCGGCCGTCCCGGCCTCCTAGAACAACTTCATTGACATAACGAAGTAGAAACATGGGACGTTAAATTTACAAGAAAATAACAGAGATAACATAAAAACTGCTCTTGTTTCTTTGTTAGCTTATTACAGATGAGCTTCTTCCTTGTAAGGCAGCAAAATATTATTTTTAAGTTATAATTATATCCAAGATGTTCGCCATTGTGCAACCAAACAAACGAAGTATAGTCAGCGGAATACTTCGGCGAACGCACAGAGCGCTTCATTCGCCAAGATCGCAAAGATGCACATGCGGGTTTTGTGGGAACGACGCTCCAGGTCCGGCGCGACCGGACACGACTCTCACGAGCCGATAAGAAGCTCTACGTGATAACATACTTCATAGCATAACCTGTTAGAACCCATTACCCCACATTATTTTGTGTTTCCATAAGATATAAAATTGTGACATAACGGAAAAAGTCAGAATAGTGGAACGACAAGAGGCGGTCATTGCTAGGCAGAGGCACGTTAAACACGTTTCTAAGACAACAGGTAACAGCCGCAACAATTGAGGACGCGATGTTACCTATACAGGCGTTCGTGGCAACAGCGCTGTAAACACGTTTCCACAGCAACGAATCAACTCGCAACAGTACTCGATGAGGTATTTTCTCTGTTGTCCGCCCGAAGCTATGTATAGAGGACGAGCATGCAAGTAAGCAGTAGATTGTACTACAGAATATTGGAGAAATATTTTTTGCTCTAAGAGAAACCATGGTGAGCGCTTTCCACTTGTTTGCAGAAGAAATAATATATTTGTCTTCATCCCTCGATATACAAGTCCAGAGAAATCAATTTTTGTTACAAGATTGTGTTATTTGTATAATAGTGTGGTCACAGTTTTATGGGTATTGTAGGTATTGTAGCAGTTTAACATGTTGTGTATTAGAATGATAAACTGAAGAAAGGTGTTGTGAGAAAGTCATGTAGCATGGATGTGAGAATGAGAAATACACAGAAAGATCCAGATAGTAAACCTGAATGAGATCACTTAGGAGACCAATGCATAAAGGGCAGGATAATATTAATCATTTTCATACCACATGATGAATCAATTGGTTCAGTGTTAATCACGTAGTAGACAATTTCTCACGAAAGATGGTAGAAGCAGGCTCTCACCCTGTGTATATATGTGGTCATTTGAATGAAGTCTGTGGAAGCACTGAGGTTTTTGTGTTCAACCACATTAATCCCTGGCAGCATTTCAGACTAATTACCAGCTAGACTATGTCTAGTCTATGATTAGTCTATCAGCTAGATGGTTAAAACACCACATTGAATGAACAAGGGCCAGTGATAGTATAATTGCATTGTTTTTTTTACAGAACCTTGCAGATTCAAAGGAAGTACAAGGTCAGTGTACTGAGATATGCCCAGCATTTTCTCATAATGCATATCAGACCGTCGGTATGAAAGCCGAGGTATTTTCAGATGCAGAAGAAGAGGAGTATCCTGTGTCACTAACATTGCCAGAAATAGGGATCGAACCTGAGGTGAGCTGTGGCCCTGTTAGGTAGATTTCACAAAAACAGGGATCCCTCACTTTACAAACTTCGGTACAGCAAACAACTTAAGAGGTTTCTTTTTGCAAAAGCAGAGAAATATATACACAGCATGGGGCAGGTAGGGAGAAACAGGCACCACCTAACTGAATCTCTCACCATCCCAGTCTGTACACATGCCTTGTTCTAATCATACAGAATCAGCTGTGCTCCTGATGATTACAATTCCTCCATTAGTACCTGCATTATTTGTGCCCATCATGGCTCCCTGACAGGAGAACGTGCTTGTGAAAGGTGTTGATAAACCAAAGAAAATAAGGAAAGCAATACATTTGGATGCAAAGTTGGGAAGCTCAGGCGAGACATTTATATGAAGACATATGTACATCCATGATAATGAAGCTGCTTTGTTTCACTGCATCAGCTATGAGAAAAGAAATGTGATTAAACTAATAAGTTTTATTTCCAACAATAAATATCCTAAACAAGTAATACAGCCCTCATTTTAATGCTTACTTATTGCTAGAACATAAATTCTGGATTACTTCTCTGCAACTCACGAATGAGCTCACAATAACGGGAATATCTATTTTGGTTTATGATATTTTGCCTTACAAACAGTTTAGTGGGCAGAATTGCCGTCACTAAATGAGGGATACCTATATGTAGAATTCATAGTTTTCTTTCTGATCTACATCTTCACTGTAGTCACTGGATTATGAAGGTCGTTTTCTGAAATGTCTCATCTGATTTTTATTTGTTGAATGTTGCTTATGGTGTACTGTTTCCATTTTCTTCAAATTAAATATTATGTAAACTGAAGAATGTTTCAGACAAATTCTATAGATCCAAAAATTTTCCACATTTTCGTTGTCCATCCATTCTGGTAAGCTTTTCTTCGGTGCTGTGTTGTAGGACTCCCAGGATCAGTAATTGTAGAAGATGGTCATTTTTTTTTCTAACTTTGATGCAGTCTGAATCCATGTAATGAGAGAGAGTTGTCATTATGCTGAGGATCTGTAACAGGACAAGCAATGGTTCTCTAAAGATTTGTGACAGTGACAGATTATACAGACATGTTGGACATTTCTCATTGCCTGGAATATATAAATAAATATGGATGGTGATGGTGATTCCATTGGTAATCCACAAGTTATTGTTAGTGTCTTTAATGAATACTTGCTTTCAGTTGCTGAAAAACTCTCCCACAAGATGATGATGATGATAATTATACTGGTATTAGTGATATCAAGGATAAACATACTAGCATCATTAATAGTGATCCATCACACTACCTGACTCATGCCTCTGACAACTGTTTTTCAAACATACAGCTCAAATTTTCAACTAAAAAGGAAATTGAAAACATCATTAAATCCCTTAAACCTTAAATACATACAAATATGATGAAATATCCACTAAATTGCTTAAAATCAGCTCTGCTTGTAGTACCTCACCTCTATATCAGATATGTAATACATCCCTTTTATCAGGGGCCTTTCTTCAACACCTTAAGTACCCTATAGTAAAAACCATTATTTAAATAAGGTGATAGAATGAATATTTCCATGTACAGGCCATTATCCATACTGACCTCTTTCTCAAAAATCCTTGAAAAACAGACTGCTTGAACACATAATTAATAACAGCATACTAGCGAAGAACAATTTAAATTCAAGAAAAATCTAACAACAGAAAGAGCAACCTATGAACTAAGTAATTTAATTATAGGTGCCCTTGATAAAAAAATTACTTGTAGCCCGGATCTTCTGTGTTATAGCTAAAGTATTCAGCTGTGTTAATCGCGATACTTTACTGCTCATATTAATTTGGTATGAAATGACTGGTAAAGCTAATAACTGGATTAAATCATACCTTGTGGATATTTATCAAAGGGTGGAAATGAGAAACATGAACTTTAGTCATCAGATAGCTTAAAACTTGGATAAAATAAGGCATGGCGTCCCATAAGGATCCATACTAGGTCCTTCCACTTTCTTCTCTGTATAAATGACTTACCAGACTTTGTTAAGAATAGATCTAAACCAATTCTGTTTCATAATTCATAATAATAATTTTATTTACATCCATAACTGTAAAATATACAATCGGATAAAGTCAAAGAGAATATATAGATTTAATAACAATCACACCTAACATAAACAAAGAATACATAAATACTTAAATAAATTATATAAAAAAACACCAGCACATGCATTAACAGACAATTACAGTCATTTAATTCAACATCTTACATATAAAAAACTCCTGAAGAGAGCAGACGTTTGCAGACGATGCTAGTATAATAGTTACCAACTCTAACCCCCCAGATTTTAAAAGTGACATAATGACTGTATTTGAATGTTTCAGAGCCAATAGTCTTTCATTAAATTATGATAAAACCCATCTTGTATAATTTACAACTAAAAATTGACCCCAAAATAACTCTCAGTATAGGCTATGTTAACAAAACATTTTTAAAGCACATGACACAAACTTCCTTGGATCACATATAGACACTACACAAAACAAAAAACAAACTCCGTGATTTTAGTCTGCAAGCAAACTATACCGACCGAGTGACCGCTGCTTGTCGGCGAAGTTCAATGCCAACTTTTGTGGATAGAGGGTGTCACATGGTCAGTGCAACGAATCTCCACGGCCGTTAATTTCGGTTTTCTAGACCGGAGCCGCTATTTCCTTGAAATAACGCCTAAGTTATCATCAGGAAGCTGAGTGGACCCCATTCCAGACCCACTACTTCTCAGTATCCGGACCTCCGGATCTGTAGCCAAGAATGCTGACAGATAGACCACAGAGGCAGTTATAGACACTACACTGTCTTTGAAATTACGTGTACATATTGAGCAGGTACTACGCATGTTAAGTGCAGAGTGTTATGCACTGCTACCATGTAGTCAGTGAGTCTCTTAACCATATTAAATTTGACAGCAGTGCAACTTCAGAGTGACTGTTAGGCATTTTGGCTTTCCAGTGCAGGGGTGGAAGGACTATCTCCAGTCACTGACAACACATTTTCATGAATTAGACATCTGTTAGTATCACTCTAGTTTCAAATGGTGGAAGTGAGAAATAAGTGAGTTCTTATTCCCTGTTTGAAACTGGTGATTGGTGATGATACTGAAGCAATATGAGGGGTGTTAGTAATTGGGATTATGAATGAGAAGGCACGTAACATCATAGGGGGCAGACAGACAGACTTTCCATTGTTGGGTTTTAGTTGCAGAATGTAACAAAGGGCATGGCTTTTTTGAGGTTTTGATAATATATTAGTAAAAATTTTTTGGAAATACAGTAACCAGGGCTACAAATTTATTCAAAATAATTCATTAAACTGCATGTAGCCTGTGTTTGAAGCACGATCTTAGAACCCAGAGACTCATACCGTGCTGTGGGTTTGATATGTTATATCTGTGTTTGCCTGAGATGTGACCAGTGTCCGAGGGCTCGGTCAAGGATACTACCATGTTTGCTAATGAGCTATTTGATCAGGAGCTGACTGGTTGTACCTTTGTCTGTGGAGACAAGGTTTCCTCATACTGCTGTCATAATTTCTATAGCCTTTACATGCTCATACTCTGTGACTTGTCTGTAGTGTATGACAGAACTGTTTCATCTGACATCAGCCTTTTTATTGTACTCTTCTTTATATCAAATGACCCATCTCCACAGGGCAGGGAAATGAGTCATCTTTTGCTGAATATCTGACACTGTGGGTCTGCTCAGCAGTGAGACTTGCAATGCAGCTTTGATAAAGAGTTTTGATTGGTCAAGTGTAAGCAAATCTGTTGTGTTATATGCACCTACAGTTGTGGCGAAGTTGAATTCAGTCACCATTGATAAGTGACTAAGTGTGGTTTGTCCCTTAATAGCCAAAGTAGACGAACATGTCTGTACATGTGTGATTCGCTTCAAATGACATCTTTCCAGTCATGATTGACCACAGGTAATGAGGACCCCCTATCCATGGTAGCATATCTAATGCCTGACATTAATCACCGATGTTTAACAGAAATCCCCTTTAAATGTCTGGAGTATAATGATGTGCACAGAGTCATACACAAAATCCTATTCTGTATTCAGTGCTTTTCATACTCTTCAAATTGCTTGCTCATTAACTGTTATTATGTTCTTCTCCGTCTTGTGGCCAGTTAATTTTTGAGGAAGGTAACTGAGCTGTGCGACAAGATATATACCTGTATTTCGACACCCAGTCGCTCTAAGGAGCCTTGAAACTAACAAATGAATCAGGGAAATGAAGTGGCCTGTTTGCCGAGTAAATTATGAGGAAAGGGTGCTCTCTTTGACATATTGATGGCAGTTTTTTTCTATAATTATCCTTTGCATTGTGAGCTTTCTTGCATGGACACCATTATTACCTTGTAGAGTCTCATTGGACACACACAGAAGACTATCCATAAGGAGGTGCTTTTGTTGCCCATCCATGCAAAAGATATGCTCGGCAATGAGACTGAAGCGAAGCTCTTTTCTTTTGGGGGGTTTTGTCATCAGAACAAGCTCTGGGTGGTACTTATGTACCCTACTTCTTATTCTCTAACCTCATCAGGGCAAGACATATGAACCAACACATGGGATAACAATATGCACTGAGTGAAGCCATGTGTTCCGATGTGGCAGTCTTTCAGCTTCGTCAAGGAGCAGGAAATCACGCATACAATTACCTGCACAATCATCTGTTGCATGGTGCCCCCACACCTGCTTCTAAACAGGGTGCTGTGCATGTTACCATTTCACACATACAGCATGCATGCCCTCGCTCTGACAAATTGCATGTGTTTCCATGGTGACACAGTTGAATTGCATCCTGGTATATGACTGACATGGATTTGTTCATAATGTCTGGGTGGAGGTCGTGTGTATTTAACCCACTCTGTTCTGTTCTTCTCTTTGAATTATTTAATATGTTATTGCTTAACTGATATACATTCTGTCTTCCTGTCGTTTCGTAACACAGCATTTATTGTTATTTCATTGAACATTCCGGGCCACCATACAGCTTTACAAATGCGTAATATTATACAATTTTGTAATTTGTTCCATCATGGAACTGTAGCTTGGCTTTTAATAATTTAGAAGCTGCCATACATTGTGAGGGACACAGACAGACTTGAGAGCGGTGCTCACTCTACTTCCCTTTCTTTCTCACACTCTTTCCTGTCATCTTAATCGCTCACTGTACATACTTGGGTTTCAAAATTACTTTTATTCATAGGAGGATTTTATTTTATTTCTTTTTGTTTTTCATTTGCAGATTATTATGCATGAACTTGAAACTTTGCCTGCTGAGAATCTGCAGTTTTGCTGTGACGTGTGTAATAAGTCATTCTGTCGGAAGTGGGATCTGAAGAGGCATCAGCGCATACACAGTGTGGAGCGGCCATTCAGCTGTGGCATGTGCAATATGGCATTCACTGATCTAAATAGTCTGAAGAGGCATGACCGCGTACATAGTGGGAAACGGACATTTTGCTGTGACATGTGTAATAAGTCATTCAAGCACCCCACAACTCTGAGGACTCATCAGCGCATACACAGTGGGCAGTGGCCACTTTTCTGTGCCGTGTGTGATAAGCCATTCGATCGTCAGAGTCATCTGGAGGCACATCAACGAGTACACAGTGGGGAGCGGCCATTTTACTGTGACGTGTGTAATAAGTCGTTTCGTGTTCAGGGTAGTCTGAAGGCACATCAACGCATACACACTGGGGAGCGGCCGTTTTGCTGTGACATATGTAATAGGTCATTCACTGACCACAGTACTTTTAATAGGCATAAGCGCGTACATAGTGGGGAGCGGCCATTTTGCTGTGATGTGTGTAATATATCATTCAGCATTCGGAGTAGTCTGAAGAGGCATGAACGCATACATAGTGGGGAGCGGCCATTTATCTGTGACCTGTGTAATACGTCATTCAGTGTTCGAAGTAGTCTGAAGAGGCATGAGCGCATACATAATAGGGAGCAACCATTTGGCTATGATGTGTGTAAGGTCATTCATTCTTCAGAGTCATCTGAAGACACTTCAGCTGACACACAATAATGTATGTAGCAAATCATAGAACAGTAGAGATGGGTATAGATTAAAGGAACAGTATGTAACTTGTAGCACGCCACAATATTGCATTTTGAAAGTAACACAGTTTTACTCAATGTTAAACGATGCATGTTACAAGATAGTAGTAAAGTTGTGAGTAGCTGCTTACCCTTCTAACTGGCATTAAAGGTGAACTGAGTCCCATGGTACAAAAGTCAATGCATATCAGCATCTGTCTGATACTGTCACGTTTTTATGGCTCTGTGCCTAATAATAACGGGTTTTGGGTTGGATGGTTGGATTTATTAGCTCCTTCTTTTGCAACCTCTCTTAATCGCAATCAATTAGGCTGCCTAAGACTCGCTCCATTCTAGCCAGACTACGACTGCCTTCTCTTCTAGTCTGTCTTTTACTGTTCTCGTCTGGTTTCCGACTGACTGACCTTCTACAAATATACGAATTAATTACTTCTTGGTTCTCCTTTCTACTGTGACTGCTCCTGTTCTTATCTGGACGGCAGCTTGTACGGCGTTGCGTATCGTGCATGTTTTTTTGCTTGCTCATATCCATGGGCAGGCCTGTTGATTCCGTAGCAATGATCTGGTTTCTAAGAGTCTATAACTTCCACTCCCGTATATTTCCGCCCTCTCCTAGTTAAATGGTTAAGGCTGACGTAACCGCACGCCGAAAGTCGTCTTGTAGCATCTTCGTAGATTGACGCGGTGATGTAGCCTTGCTTGGGGTGGCCACATAGTCGTTCCCTTACCTTGGTGATGTCTTTCGTAAACTGTAGACGCTGCTGCGGGCGAGTCACTCTGTATTTACTGCCAAATGGCATACTCTTAAATCCAGGTGTCGTAAATATTGGGCGCCATCTTTCTTGCCGGAGAGCACTAGATTTATCTCAGAGTCTTACGCAGGCTTTGTTGCGGCATGTGAGTCAAACAAAATAAAAAACAACACGTCACTAAGCACTCAACACTTTATTAGATAAACTTTGCTAGATAAACTTGTAACTCTTAACACTTTTACGACACACCTTAATAGTACCTTAGAAAGTTCAGAACCTTGTGTTACGCCACAGAGAGTCGCGCAGTCCACCAGGTAGCCACCAGAGTGATGTCATACTCAATTACCAACAGTTCCGATTGGCTGTTGATTCCCGGTACATTCCCGCTTTACGAACTCCAGCAGCAAGCTTTGCATCATACATTCTTTCGAAATCATTCTATATGACGCAATATACTTGAACAAAGCGGAATCCCGGAATTATAAAACTTCACAAGTTACGCCACATTACGTAACCCTCTACGCAGCGTATAGTCTATTGAACAATATGGCGCGTAATGATATATTTCATTACATTAATTCAAACAATAATTAAACCTTACAAAATACAATAATTACCAACTAAATATTTGTATACATAAATCTGGCGAAATATGTTACCAGGAGGAGTAATTTGAATTTTGTTTGTGTAATAAAGGGAAATGAAACAATATTTACTTCATAATCGCCTTAAACTTGAATATGTATATATCCTTACACACACACACACACACAAATTTATAAGTATACATAATGTTTAATAATAGGTAATCTCCATGTATTTGTTTTTATTTGACCCATTGTAATGCATCTTGTGTTTGTTGATTAGTCATTTATAACATTTCAAAACTGATTAGGACATCACAGTTATAACGTTTTCACTAAATGTCACTGTTTTTCACTGAGATTCATTTACCTGTTAATACTTACTGCGTTCACTGTGAGGTATTACATCTTTTGTAACCACTGTGTTCTTAATGTTATATTTTAGCGTCCTGTTGCACTGATTCACGTTCATGATGTGTATTTGTACCAGCCGTCTTACAGTGCACATAATTTCACCTTTCTCTTCTTCAGTGAAGAGAAAGGTGAAATTGTGTGCGCTGTAAGACGGTTGGTACAAATACACGTCATGAACACTGTGTTCTTGTTATTGCATGTGACAACTGGATGTTCACATATCATACTTTGCTAACTATCTGATAAACTGAAAATTCTAGCGGCCACCTCATGACTCAAGGTACGCGGGTTCAAACCCGGCGGAGGTCGTGGAATTTTTAAGGGCGGAAAAATTCAGGGAACAAATCCTCCGGGAGGGACTTTAAGCCGTGGGTCCCGTGTCGTAACTTTACGGCACGTAAAAGAACCTCGTGTCTCAAGGGGACCTCTGAGCCAAATTCAGGACATTTCCTGCCCAACAGTAGTCTCTAACGCCTCTGGTAGATGGGAGAAGCTTCGAGATACCGCTGAGCCAGTAGAGGCCGAAGTCTCTGGCTGAGTCGGGACTGATGGCACGCACCAGTACCGGTAGGGTATAGAGACTGGTAGAATATCACAGGGGGACGCACAATGGACCAATATCTGGTCTAAGTGCATGGGTAAACCCACCCTCTCCAATAACAACAACAACAACAACAACAACTGAAAATTCTGGGTCTTGGCCCTTCATCATTTCACAGTGTCATACAGATTACATTCTTAACACTATTCCCATATATTTGTTATACATGTACATTGAACTGTTTGTTGACATAGGTATGTACATATAATTTTACAAAATTATACCTGTTGTCTGAAGCAGGTCACCTGTGGCATAGGTTAACTATATTTTTTTTCCACAGAAAGGACATTTATCTGTATATAAGTTGTATCAACTTAAGACTCTGATGTCTGTATATTACATCCAAAGCTTCTGGGTAAATTTCTAAATTTGAAATGCCCCTCCAACGTACGAGAGTGGACCAGAATGTCATCCACGTAGTAAACCACGTAGGTCTCAGTGTCGCTCCGCAAGGCCAGCTTGAGAGTCATTATGAATGCCGACAAAGAGTTCTTAAACCCGTAAGGGAAACTCACTGATACAAGGTAGAATAAAAAAAGTAAGCAGTATACTATCTAGACTCTTCGTGAAGTTCTACCTGTAAATAAGCGGAGCTTAAATGCAAAGAAGTCATGTAACTACAGGGAGATCGAAAAGTCGCGCACATCAAACTAAAAGTTGTTATAAATTGTATTGCAGTTAATGTAATTATATCTCCTACCGCTAGATGGTACTGTAGGAGTACTAACGAGTAGAAACGCCATCTGTCGTATATCGGTCATACGACTACTGCAGTATAGCTTTGTTTATTGCGTGACAGACATGTCGTTTTCCCAAGAACAACGAGTTTTCATTGTGGAACTTAATTTCGCCAGTCGTTCCTACGCTCGTGTCGCAGACGAGATTCGTCAGGAATATCCGGGTTCTATAGTTCCATTAAACTTTTGTAGCAGTTCTTGTAAGGGAAATGTACGCTCATAATCAGGGATGGTATACTGATTAACTTTACGGGCATCCACACAAATTCTAAGCTTCTTACCATTTCGTTTCACTACTGTCAAAGGGTTCAAAAATGGGGAATTTTCGATCTCCAGAATAGCGTCTCTCGCAATCTCATCTATCTGTGATTTAACGGCTGGTCTCAAAGCAAAATGAATTGGTCTGCTGAATTCTATAGGGCGGTGAGCTTCTACTTGAAACTTATAACTGAACAGCTTACATTTCCCTGGTCGGTAAGTCATACTATCTATATATTTAACTAACACTTGAAAAAGTTCTCTCTTCTGAATGGCATTAAGATCTCTTGTACCTGCCGAGAATGGAACACCGGCCTTCCAGCCCGTAGCCCATCGCTTTACAGACTGAGCTTCCCCGGCCCCATATTAAGTAAAGGGGATAAGAAAAGTTTGAGATGAGCTGCCCCAGCAGATAGAAGTGTACGTACTTGAAGCAAGTCAGGCTCCTGGAAACAACATGGAAGTCAACCCAGACGAAACTGGAAAGAGAAACGCATGTACTCGTACAGTAGGCGGAAGCGATGTGTGAAAGGCCTCAGCTGATGCTTCTGTCGTGACACGAAAAGAAGTCACACAAGATTTCCCTGAAATGAATCACCAGGGAAAGAAACATTTTCGCAAGTTTGGAAGACACCTTTTGAATGGCCGGTCCAAATTGACGGACAGACGCGAGGAAGACAAGCGCTGTATAAGCTTTTCTTAGTTCCGGAAGGGATGCAGCTGGACGTCAAAAGAGAATTATTAAATGCTTTCGAAAGAGTTAGGCTGCAACAAAATAATGACCATAAATCGGTACTGAAGGGTTCTCACGACGGTGTATAACACTGGGAATTACTGAGTTTTGGATTTGTCCGTCGTCCATTCGTCTAAATTTACAGTGACTCAAGTTAGCTTTTTCTCACGGACTCAACGGAGTAGATGTCTCCAATCTGAAGACGGGAACAGGTCCAGTTTCTGGAAGGCTATCTTCATTAGAATATTAGACGACAGACAGATTCCAGAAACTCACTAACCTCGATTAATAACTCTATATGTATTATGCTCCATCGCAGATGCATTATTTTGGTCGACCCGTTTCTAACCCATCGGAGCAATGTGGTTATTTTTCTACGAAACGCCCTTTAGCAAGTGAACTTACATTTAAACAAAACGTTTGAATTAAAATTCGAGATAAAAAAATATCTAGCTATCCGGTATCATCGCATCATTTTCAGCCGCGGCTTGTACTCAGGCATCACGGATACTTCATATCTTTCTTCGATCAGAGGAACTGTACGCTCGTATATTGTAACGCTGTACACTTTTACGAAATTTCATCGCCTCTGCAAAAGTTTCTTCCGCTGAAATGTACCTCTTCATAATCGTGCTCATTCCCGGAAATATCTTATTCCAGAACACCAAACAGTCCATCAAATGAAGACTGGAGCCTCTCGGGATGTGAAGCCATGTATTCTGATAGGTAAGTATCGATGCAGAAGGAAGGAGGCAGCTGATTCCTCCGAAACGGTGTCGACATTCGGGGACGTCGCTGCACTCATGCTTACTGTCGTTGTACTCTAAGTAAACTGCACAGATCCAGTTGATAAAGCGTCTTTAAATAAACCGATAACTTGCAGTGCCTGACAGCCGACGTATTTCAGTCTCTTCTGAGATCCTTTCGTCCTAAGAGCCGGGCCAGCTCAGTAAGCTACACACACTCGCTGCAGTACCGGAATTGAATTCCTGGCTAGGATATGAATCCTCTTTTCGCCCCCCCCCCTTCCAGTCCTCAGTGGCAGTGGGACTCATCCAGTCTCCTTTACAATGGTAACAGCAGATTCAGTCTGGTCGACGCATTAGCAAGTTGTCTCAAGCAGTAATGCTCTAGACTCATTGCAGATGAGCTCAGTTTGAATCTCGGTCGTACTACCGACTATCCTGACTGAAATTTTTCATGATTTTCCTCAGTCTTTCTGAGCAAAAGTCATTATTTTTTTTTTGCTAGTGGGTTTAGACTAAGTCCTTTGTACTGTGGCCACTTCTGGCCTATTGTACCAGCACCAGATGATAGGTAAGGGTGATTGTGGAGCAATTGGTGGAACAAAAATTGGCAGGGGAACTGAAGTACTCGGAGAAAACCTGCCCCAGCGCCACTTTGTCCACCACAAAACCCACTTGACCAGACCTGGGATCGAATCCGGGCCGCCGCGGTGGGAGGCCAGCGATTAACCGCTTGAGCTACGGCGCGCCCAAAAAGCCACGATAGTGTGTTAAATTAGGTCATGACCGCTTCCTTCCACATCCTTTTCAATTCATCATGCACTCTCTTCTTCTCATTAGACGCTACACAGCCTGGGTATGGACGCCTTCCTTAAAAGAACGTCCGTACCTAATGTAGAGGCTTAGAAAATGTGTGGCCGCAGCGACCTTCGTGCGAAACCCATTGCACGGGCGAGTACCTGTCTAAAACAGGGCGTAGTGGGGAAACCTGTATGCTGGGAACGGATGTCATTCTATTGCACAATGGCATTGTTAAGAAGCATCACGCGGGTGGGAGGGGGTGGACAAGAATTTTCGCTTTGCAAGCTTAGTTGTGTTATCGCACCGCTTGGGCCTGAAGGAAAGCCGATGTTTGCACAATTGGAACATCCACAGAACGCGTGTACTTAGCAGACAGTGTCAGCAAGTGGTAGAGAATGTAAAGGCTTGGTGTTTACGGACTTGGATTAACAGCGCACCAATATCAGGCTGCTGTGATCACGGTAATGAACTCTTCAGCCCCATAAGGAGAGAACATTTTTTTTTCTAGATGGACGTTTCCAGGATTCATCTCTACGTAATTTGTGGTGGTGTTGTTCTGAGTGGTAACTATGCGCCTTGCAGTCACTCTTCGTTGTATCATTTGAAATGTTTTCGACCCTGACAAATTTTTCGGAAACGTCACTTGACTTTCGCTAGACTACACAACGCTATATACTAGATGATAGAGCGTGTTCAGTCGTAATACAAAAGTTAGGAAACTGTCTTAAGTAGGTCCCCATCCTTACGTCAGTCAACTTTCGTAACTGAGAATTATTACTATGAAGAAAAGAATACATTTAAGAAAGAGGGTGCTCATAATGAGTGGAAAATATTCTCATTAGTAGCTAGAGATTTTGCCTGAAACATTTTAAATCTACTTCACATCCTCAGAATATTTCTTCAAGCTTGATTTTAATGTTATCTAATGCTTCGCAGGTGTCTTTTCCGAGCAGTTTTTCAGAAATTATGTTTTATATATTCCACACACGTGCCACCCACGACACTACGGCCTTGACCTCAGCTAGTCTAGTTTTCGGAAGAGTACTCAAACTGGCCCCGCGACCTACTGTTTGGAACACCCCCGGACAAGGAAGGACCCACACAGATAATTGAATGGATAAAATACACGACATCCGCTGTTATGCCCGCCAACACCTGAGGCTGGGCATTGCCCGGATGAGACAGTGTGACTCTGTCGTCCAACCGTCATGAAAGGGAAATCGTCCATACTCCAATCCTCGTGGAAAGGCCCGTACAAGGTATTCGCCCGGATAAATGATGTGAAATACAGGATACATCAGAGTCCTAGATCGAAGTTGGTGGTACACCTGGCCCGGCATTTATCTTATAACTGAAATATTGACAGTAAAAAGTAAAAGTAAAGCTATCCCTGTACCAGGCCGTGAAGGCCCATAGGGCTGTGAGACGTTGAGGCTCCCACATTATCTAGACAATCGGCTCAAAGATGGCGGTAAGGTTGTCAGCCTTACGCGCCGGCCGCACTTTACTCCCCAAGAAAATTATTTAATTAATTCCTGGTACTCATTTCTGTTAGAGGCTGAGTGAACCCCAGGGCTTAGTGCGACCAGAAGGATTAGGTCAATTAATAAAAATCCAATGACCTCATCGGTCGACGAAATTAAAGGCATTGCATACAGGATGATGCTAATCGTCACAATTTCTGCTATGACAGTCTCAGATCACACACGTTAGTTCTGTGTTATGTTGAACCTTTGATTCCAGCAGTTAGTACAGTTTGATTTTTAATTTTGACTGTCTATTGAGTAAAAGTATTCTGACAGCTGGTTCTCAAAAAAGGTAAAGATGTCCCCATACTTCACTGAAGACTGATGGGGAAGTGGACGTATAGAATCAAATTTTCTTGACCTTGGCACTTGTTGGAAGTAAGTGCTAAGCTCAGCGCTCCGGCTGCTTTACCCCCGGCGAAAGAAAACCGATACCCATTGGATAGGAGGCTGGGTGGGCTCGAGGACTGGTCTGGAAGACATGGAGAAGTGAAAATTCTTGCCCTCACTAGGACTCAAGCTCCATCCCCTCAGTCGTCGAGGTCGTAGCCAGTCGCTCTGTATGATGGAGAAATGACCATGGTTAATTGAGCACAACTAATTACTTAGTGATTATACTAGGATACTACAGGTAGGGTAGGTAGTAATGGGTGGGAGATGACAGTCAGATGAAAGAAGCAAGCAATAATAGAGGATATAGAAGATTAAAATATAAGTGGAAAGAAATTACTTCTACGTATTTTAAGAAAATGGAAATTTAATTTTAATGGTCCTGCTAGTGGTAAGCACTGGCATTAGCAGAACTGAATAATTGGGTCCATATATGTAATTGTTTGATGAGAACTGCATCATGGACTTCTGGAGTGCAATGCTCTGTGGTTTGGTAGACAGACACCAATGTTTCATAGGAATCTCCTGTCTCCATCTCCAGAGCGGATAACCTAAACACTTCATGTTCAATGTATCTGCCCTGAACACTTCATGTTTAGGTTATCTACCTAGAAGATAGAAGCAACAGGTTCCTCCAAAATATTTGTACCTATATACCAAGCTGCACTGGCATCACCTCCCAGGAGACGGTTGTTTTGCGGTGTAATGATACTGTATTTGAGACTCTATACTTTTGAATAAAGAATTGAAAGGTTTTTGGAAAGAAGCACACTCGTAGCATTTGCTTTGAGGAAGTGAGGAAAGCAATGGAGAAACTTAGGGTCCTGGTTGAAATCAGAATTATTTATCTCCTGAAGACAAATGTCTTCATATTTACCAGCATAAAGTCCTAAAATCTAATGATTTAATGACCACAGTTGATTTCGAGAGAATTAAAATAAGTTGTCAGGACTGATCTCTTAGGCAGTATGCTTGGGGTGCTGAAGGAGCTGAAGTCCTGGGTGAAAGTGAGCCGTCGATCCTCAGATCATGTCTCTGTGGACACACTTGTGTCTGCTCTGCATCATCGCATCACATTCGCCATGCTTCTTATATGTTGTGCCCTGTTGACCAGTCGCCAGTACTTCGGGGATCCTATCCTCTGCATACAAGACAGTTCAGATGATGATGCAGCCATCCCCAACAATGTGCTCAATACGTACTGCTTTGTGACCAGCAGCTACACCGTGGTGGGCCCCACAGGTATGGGTTCATCCTGCACCCCATTCTAAAAAGCATATACCTGCTCTTCAATTAGAACATCTCTAATGCTAATAAAAATTAGCAATTATGAATATTAGGTTAATGAATATACTAATATTGTTAAAAGTAAAACAGTCATATTCATTTATCTGTTGTTTGTTTAATGGTGCTGTCAGTAGCTCAGGCTATGGAACATCAAATTAATAGAACTATTTGCTTTGAAGGACATGAAATATAGGCCTCTTTTGCTTATGAAGTATGGCTGGTTCTGGATGCAGGAACAGAGCCAATATATATGCCAGGATTTTATATTAAAATCCTCTGTTCAAGAAATGAAACTGACTCATCAAGGACTGTGCAAAAATATTTTTGCATTCATATGTATTTGGTTTGAATATCCTCCCTCTTTCTTGGTAAGAAAGCATTTGTTTCTGCAGAACAGCACAGATGTCATATGTTCATCCTGATAGGTGCACAATACAAGGAGCCCAGTGTTGTGGCTGTTGGGATAAAAGGATTCTGTAATCTTGTTCAGGGCCTTGTACTGTATTCTCTTCTTGTCTTAAAAGAGACCAAGGAACCCTACCTTGAGGGATCCTCTACAACAGAGAAGGACATGGCTGAAGGTATGAAGAAGTGAAAGAAGTGATAGAAGGGATTGGCTGACTTACTGACTGTCTGCTTAACTTACAAGCTAGTAAACCCACTCATTCCCTCACTCACTTCATGATGAGTAGGTTTTATGGTGGCAACGTTCTAGGCCTCTATTATGCAGATTTTTGACATGCATGTAGACTCGGACACAAGTTATCCTGATGGAGGACTTCCATCGTTTTCCTTGGTCTCCCAATGCAACATCCAGCGTAGTACCACGATTAGTCCATGTCTGGTTCCTTCCAGATCCTTTTTAATTCATTATTTACCACTTGTATTACTGCTTGTCATATATAATATGAAATACTGATAGCATCATAAAATGAATTGGAATTAGACAAACTCCATGGAATGGAGACCTTATAAAACTAGTAGTTGTTCAACTAGTTAAGAAATTCCCATATTTTGTGTGGAAACTGAATGTTTGTTATGGCCACTTTCCTTGTCCTGAATCAGATTAATGCAGTCCACACCTTCACGCTCTGTTATTATAAGATTAGTTGCAACATTAGCCTCCCATGTATGCCTAATTCCTCCAAACCGTCTTATCCCTTCAAATTTTCCTACCAGAATTTTTTTATAAACTTCTCATCTGTCCAATGCATTCCAAATGTTCCACCCATCTCATCTACAACAAATTGGCACCTATGGATAGTACTTATTCATGAAGATGCATCTCAACTCTCTTAATTTTTAGTGTCTCCTTTTATTTTCAACATCAAAATGCTTGCATCCAACATAACTTCACATTAAAACATAGGAACATCGGTGGAAGGATGTAAGGCTGCACCATAGCTCAAGCGGTTAGTCGCTGGCTTCCCACCATAGCAGCCTGTGTTCAATCCAGAGTCTCGTCAAGTGGGATTTGTGGTGGGCAAAGTGGCACTAGGGCCAATCTTCAATCCTTCAAATTCTCCATCATCATAATCAGCTGGGGCAGATACAATAGGCCAATCAGTCGCCGCTGTGCCAAGTGGACCCATTTGGACTCCACCCCCCACGAAGTGAATTAAAAATAACATCATCATCATCAGTAATCTGTCAGACGACAGGTCCACAGTAGTCTTCCAAAACAATTCCTCCACTTAATGCGATCTAGAGCTTTCTCCTTCAAATGACAGTATCCTCTTCTGTCCCCAAGGTCATCCAGCATCTTCTTACATCTTCTGCCTCGTCTTCTTGTCACTTCTATCCGCCCCTCTATCTTTCCTTCAATAACTTCTTTTAGAAGGCAGTTTCTGCGTAAAACATGACCAATGCAATTAGCCTTCTGTTTTCACAGGTGGAAGGATGAACGAATTTCATCCAGTTTAAGAAATGAAAGTGTAGCATTGCTCTCCCTCCACCTGGATGGACTGTATAAACAAAGATGGATTAATATAACATCAGTGTTTTCTTTTTTGTAAAAAAAAAGAGAGAGCAGGGTGCCACAGTATGTCCGTTTGGAAATTGGTACAGCAGTTATTTTATCAGTATGAATTTTTTAGGTACTTGGTTTGAATCTCAGCAATCCGACTCTTGTGCCTGATGGTTTTATGGTTTCTGTTAGCCAAATTCTGTTATAGTACCTTGGAATAAGCCACTATAGTGCCTCCTTCGAAGTGCTAACTCACTGCTCATTTATGATACAACTTTTTAAATTTAAACAGTAGTTTGCAATGCCTTTTTTATCTTAAGGAACCTTTCTCTCACTAATGTCTACACTTCAAAACAAAACACCTTTTATGTCATTAGTGTAGAAACATTCTGATTCAAGTAGCATCATCATACCAGACACTGTAAAGAAGTGACAGTCCATATGCAAGTGTTTCTGCGTTATTGAAATAAAGTTAATAGTGCTTTAGAGTGAAGATGAAATGTCGTTGCAATTTAAATGTAATAAGTTAAGGACTATGAATGATGGAAAATACTATCCCTCAAAACCTTCTTCTGTTAGAAAATTTCCATGGATATGCATAATGACAACTGTTAAAAAGTCACAAATAGCTCGAGATGCTGAATATATTTCTGTGCAAGGTATTTTGTGTAAGATATGGAAAAATTAAATATTCACCTAAGAATCCTGATCACACAAGACAAAACCTGTAGTGCTGTATAATGTGTTTCAGGCGAGACGTGGCAGGGTCAGGGTGACGCTCAGCGTCGCCATGCTTACTACCAATGGATGCCCTTTGTGCTGTTTCTGCAGTCACTTCTGTTCGCATCGCCACATGCAGCCTGGTGCAATTGGGAGGGAGGTCTGGTTCGTGGCTCACTGATGGGACTGAAGGATGAGGTCCATGGTCCCAACAGAGATAAACTGCGGACCCTGGCACGCTATTTTGCTGCCAGACTCCATACATTCCATATCTGGGCTGCAGGCTTTTACGTATGTCAGCTGCTGAATCTGCTGAATGTTGTTATCAACATGTTCTTCACTGACAAACTTCTGGGTGGCAATTTCTATGAGTATGGGCTGCAGCTGAGACAGTATGACCTGCAGGTGAGTAGAAGTGCTGTACTCTGTTACTGTGTGTTTAGAAGATTACATATAAGCCCTGAATACTGACATCTCTTCCATTTGCCAGGAAGAAGCATTCTAAACAAGGAGTGTAATGAATAAGACCATTTTTATCCATCAATTCTATTACAGATAACTCCTAACCCATTTACAGCAGTACATAAATGAATATCCAACTTTTGGGAAATGTAAATTTATTAGTCCACTGAAAGACTAGCTTCAGTTCTTAAGAATTGTGTTTCTACATTGAACAAATTTGTTGGACCTCTTTCACAAATATCTTTGCTCAGAATTCAGGAATTCTGTGGGAGATTGTGTCCATCTACCTACCCCATTATCATGTTTCATCTCCAAAACTACAGAACACTTGATTAAATTTGGTATGGGAGGTCCAGTATTAAGTTGGATTATGAATTTAGTTTTAGTTTGTATAGAACAATTGTAACTCAGATTTGACATTAAGATAGAATAAGATTTTATCAGTTTATCAGAAAAACTTCTGTGTCAAAAGATTACAATATACATGATAGTTCAGTCAGTGTATTGACTAGGCTATGGTCTTGATGACTGGATGATGGGAGTTTGATTCCTGGCAAGTTCAGAGATATTTTTCTTCTCTGCAGCTTGCAGACTGGCTCTGATGCATACCCATGCTTCTTTAAAATTGATATTGAAGGCTTCTTGCCAGGACAAGCTAATCATCTGGTGCCAAAATTAAGAATACTTGGAGTCGCATTTCAACTTCCATACACATATTATTGGTATGATAGTAAAGTAAACAAAGAGCCTATTGCTTTATCATTCCATATATGTGATATGTTGTGGTGGCTGTTTACAAAGATACAAACATTTGACTCCTTCAGTTTAACGTCTGTAGTGCCATCAGTTTTGTATCTGCAAAAATTGGGATCGAAGACCAAGGGCAATGAGGTATGCAAAATGCTAGTACAGAATACATATATAAAGAATGTGTCCTCCACTGGTGGGTCTGAAGTTGGACTGGTTCAGGTTTTATGGAGAGAAATTGTAAACACGGTGATGAACCTTCGGTTTATGTGAAATTATGAACTTACATGAAAACCTCAAAAAAATATTATGTGCTGAGACAAGACCCTGCATGGCAGAGATGGTTATTGTGTTGTGTTCCAGACATTGGAGAGGTCACCTACTGATGTAGTGTTTCCCAAGCTGACCAAGTGCCTATTCCGGAAATACGGTCCATCAGGGACAATCCAGATTCATGATGCTCTGTGTGTCATGGCGTTGAACGTTGTCAATGAAAAGATATTCATGGTATTATGGTACTGGTTTGCACTGCTAGCCCTGGTATCAGGCCTGGCCCTGCTCTGGCGATTGTTGATCCTGGGTCTGCTTGTCTGTGCTTCTGCTCATAGCCACAGCTTCATGTCGGTCTTAGCACAAAGAGCTCTTGGCACTCCTGTCACATTGGACCCTGTATACCTGTCCCCTGTGACACAGAGGCTAGACTGTGGCGACTGGTTATTCCTACAGCTGCTGGGAGCCAACATGGGCACCAGGGTATACAGAGAGTTTATGGAGCAACTTGTCCAAGCCATGGAGCAAGCGAAGCAGTCTGATTTGCAGCCCCTGTGGAACAGCTGAGATAAGCAATATGATGTACAATTAAACACGATTTCTTAACGTTGACAAAGTAACTTAACAGGAATGCACACTGAAACAAATATTGTAACCTTCCTCATGTCAAGATCTTCAGTTAAGATTTTCCTGTTTCTCTGTCAATGATCACTTGCTCCGCTATGCTCCTGACAGTCAGTCGTATTATTACATATCATGGTACCATAAAAGCTTTCTTTCGTTGTAAAATAAGGAGAGTTAGTTAAAATGCTATTTGTATTAATATTCATAAATATCTGGTTGGTCCTATTATTGTATGTAAGATAATTTCAAGCAGACACTTATGTTATTATTGTTTATGTGACATCACAAGTGCCACAATTTCCAGGCTAAGTTTAATTGAAAACTTTAAATTGATTCGAAAGCCATAACACAAAGCATACATCATCCATAAGTAATCATTACTTTTCCCTTCATAAATTGGCTTTGAAATTATTAAAAAATTTGTTAATTTTTTTCTTATTGTTCTTCAAAGTGCTGTAGTCACCTGTTTTGATGTATTCTGTCCAATCCTTTTATAATAAGCTTAATATAAGCAATACTGATTGCCTTCTTAATTATGAATTATACATAAAAAATAATGGTAATCTGTCATGACATTATTCTAATTTCTTCTTTCAAGTATCCAAGAGAATAGTTGCTCCAGAAAAACCAGAAATATGGCCACAACAATTCCTGATGTTGAAATACTGAAAACAGGAACCACATCCACCAGCTCCATGCTCTTAAATGCTCCCTCTGACTTCCTGGGTTCATATATCATGGTGTCCTGGTGCAGCTTCTCCATGATTCCAGTCTCCAGAAGCTTCTGCAAGCTGGACAGAATTATAACAATGCTGTGTCAGGTATCCATTTTGAATTGGAAAATGTCTGGGTTTCAAAACTAACACATGATTAGATCTGTATCTCAAGATTATTTCTTTTGGAATGTTTGTACATAATGTGTATAAGTGAAAGAAGGGGAGAAAGCCAAGACGGAAGAATTGATAACTAGAAATATGTGAATAGATTAGTAGACTAATGACAATTACAATATCTGTGGTAACTGAAATTCTGAGGCTTCATATATAAAAGCNACTAGAAATATGTGAATAGATTAGTAGACTAATGACAATTACAATAAAAATTTTCAGTAACAAGTTTTTAGTCATGGAATCATCAGTTCCTAGCATCTGACTCCATGATTAAAACAAGAACTATGAGGAGAAGTAGCGTTCTTTTACAAAATAAAATGCATTATGGAGATCAGCACACTGCAAACAAGCTATACCAACCACACTCTTCTGGAGTAGCAGTTTTCCGTTTGTACCTTCAGCTCCATAGCTGATTATAAGGACAGTATCCATAAACAGGTCACATTCACTTCCTCACACATTCATTCTTTGCAAATTATCTATAATGGTAACTCTTTTTAGTTTCATTTTGGAGGTATCCCTTTCATGTCTCAGCTGAGGAACTTGAAATGCTGAGAAAGGATTAGTCGCTTTTCCTCTATGTGAAATAGTCCACAGCTGCTATATCAGCTTTTCAGTTTCTCCTAATACAAGTATCATATCCTTTCATGTGACACTAAATAATCCAAACAACGTCTGTTCTGATTTAGAATTTATAAATTGTAAGTACTTTATTCAATGAAGAGTTCTATCTTCTGTGATACATCGCAGTGTAGAACGTTGAAAGTCAACCAAGGTTTCGGAGGAATATGTTGCCTCCATCACATATTAACAGAAGATAGAATGCTTAATAAACATTGCTCAAATTCTACAGTTCTTACAACGTCAGTCAGCAGTACATGAGCAGCTGATGGAGCATTATGATTAAGTGAAGTAATTATATGCTTTTTAATTGCATTTTGCATATTGATATGTATTTCTTGTATGGGAATATTTGGGGGCATGTAGTAGCGTAGTTGTCTGAGGCACTATGCTACAAGCCAGAGGTCGCGGGTTCCAATCCCAATGAATTCATTGGATTTTTCAATTGACCGAATCCAGCCGCAATATGCCACAGGGTTAGACTCAGCCTTTAACAGAAATGAGTACCAGGAATCTTCCTGGGGGTAAAGGGCGGCCAGCGCTTAAGGCTGAAAACCACACCATCTGTGAGCCGATTGTCTAGAAAATGTGGGAACCTCAAATTCTCACAACCTTATGGGCCTTGTAACCGTACGTCCCTCGCCAAAATTGTTTAATGAAGGGTAAGAACAACTAATGCATTGTTTCACACCCTGAGAGACGCTCCTCCGGCGAGATACCATCCCGGGACCGCCAGTTGTAATTCAGCTATTGTCCTTCTTAGGCTAAGGGTGCCGCTATTGTCCCTAACGTCGCCTGTTTACTCCCAATATCATAAACCCATGAACTGACCGTGTGCGAGACCGGCCAGGAGGGGTCTTGGTTTCCTTGAAAACCCACAGAAATTTGTGGGCTTCTTTAAAATGTAGGTCAGATGCCGGGCTCGACCCTTGGCTTTCTCTTTTTATGTTTCTATTTTATCGTTTTTTAGGCCAACTGGGGGACTGGTAAAGAGAGGAAGGTCAGTTATAGGGAGCTGAGGAGGACAGTAGTTGAAATGTAGACAGAGAAGAGAGAAGTGTTTGACAGTAGTGGTAGCGAGTGGGCGGACGGAGCGGCTAGCTTGGAGGACAATGTAAATATTGATCATTAATGAAACTTTAAATCAAAATTTCAATACACGGTGTATTCTGGAGATCCCTGACTTATTAACCCCGGAAGTGTGTTCCACTCCCATCTCCGAAGCATCCGTATCCCTGGGATAAAGAACTCAAGCTCGAGCGAAAGTCGTGGCAGCTGTACGTCGGCGGACGGCTACAGCCTGTTACTGAGATAACTTTATGGGAATAATTAAATGTCACTTATAAAACACCACATGAGTAATATTGTTTTACACTTATCAAAATTACTTTTAATTACAAACAGTTATTACAGTTACGGCCCCAAGTCAAATGCAAATGACGCTGTTCCATCGCACATAAAAAGCAATGCGACAATCCTGCAGGCCTTTGTGACTTATTTACTGCACCGTCCACATCTAGAATTTAAAGCTTCCAGTGGTAACATAATTCGTGAATGATGAATGATGAAGGATTTGGAAGGAAGCTGTAATGACTTAATCGTCCTACTACTCCAGTATTTGACTCAATGGTATGAGGAAAACCAGAAAAGCCTCAGGGTCTCCCATTCGCAGTTGAGATTCGACTCGATCATGTTCGAATACAAATACAAAGCTTTACCACTAATACAAGGAGCTTGGTGTCTATATGATGAACTAATGATGATTACTTGTTAGGCAAGATATCCTGTTCTGTTAATTTTGACATCTAGTTTATTTGTCATATATCGTGTTTGCCTCCGCGTTGGTGTCTCCACCTTATCGTGGTGAGGGGGTTTGAGTATGCCAAGGACCCTGAGAGCTATACCAGCGGTAGCGTAGCTACTGGCAGGGCCTCCCTTACTGGACAGGTCAAAGGGTAGGCATCAGACGAAGAGAGACACCAAAAACCAAAAACTGATGCCGGAAGCAGCGTCATCAGCAGCAACTTGAAGCACAGAGCAAATGATGCTCGAGATGGGTCAAGTTCGTATAGCAACAGGCGTGACCACAGTGGTCACATTATCACTTTTCCTGGATAGTCTCTTTCAAAAAACAGAGACACAATGTATGTGAACCACAAGACGTAAGAAGATGCTGGATGACGTTGGGGACAGAAGAGGATATTCTCATTTGAAGGAGAAAGCTCTAGATCGCATTAAGTGGAGGAACTGTTTTGGAAGAGACTGTGGACCTGTCGTCTGACAGATTACAGATGAATGAATCGTGTTTGAAAACAATTATGATAAGTGGCAAACAGTATTGTTGTGTGTTGCACCTATGTGACGGGGCACGTCATGTTGCCTTTGCCCCGACCTGGTGACCTGTGGTACTCACGTGTAGCGGAATAAGCCAATGTATGGGCTGTCCACATTGAACACGAAGGCATACTTCATCTCGAAAATCCCCTGGGGCAGGTAAACCACTTCACAACTGAGATGCGGCAGATACTCCAGCGTCTCCTCTTTGGGCACCATGAATGCATAGCGCCTCTCTCGGCAGACTCTCTGCAATCCCTCCAGTACATTCCTGGGCATATCAGCCAGGTGGGGCTTCAGGCGTTCCTTGTACAAGGTCATGAAATCATGCGCTGTTGATTGCTGTAACACGGAAATTATTTAACTGAAGTCTGAAAGTTGGACTGTACACAGGCTCTCCGTACTGTGATTTCTTTCTAAAGAAACAAGTCGAAAATCAAAATGTGTCATTAGGGGCATAGTTTCCGAGACATACTTATTTCACCGTCTAATGGGGCAATGTAATTCTCATTCTCGCGTTGTTAGATATACTCAAGACACATACGAGTGCACAGCAGGGGTCAGTTGTGACCCCATTCTGGCTGTGACACATCAACTTATAGATATTATAGGGTTCTGACGATGGTGTGTAACACACAGAGATACTGGGTTTTCGGACTTTGTCCGTCTTCCGGATTATACTTAGTTTTTTCGTATATATACCGAACGCTCCTGTTTCAATGGTAACGTGGCACCATGCTCCCGTCTTCAGAATGGCATTCATCTACTCCTAGAAGAGAACGATAATTAGATAAAAACAGGATTAGAAGCAAAGGCTGGCTTGCTTCCGAAGCTCCAAGTGGGATTCCATGTACTCGAAAAGAAAAGGTGTTTATTTTATATTTTAACTACTCTTTCTGTAGCTCATCTGCAGATTCTGCAGCATTCTATGACACATAGCTTTTAACAATACTTTTTTCTGGTTATAGAAAGTGTTACTTAACTTGCTCATGGAGCTGAGCCCTTCTGGAGGAGCCGCCAATTCTACAGCTACTCAAGAATTTCCTAGCATTTTATGGAACCCGAAGGTTCATTAGATTTTTTATTCATCTGATTCCAGGATTCGTCTGTGGGAGTGTAAGGAAAGAATCCCGTTGGATTTCAGGTTCAGATTGAAGTCACTTGGCTCTTAACATTGGAGGAAGATAAGTACCGTTTATTTAGATTTTTCAGTTAGTATTGTCCAGCTCAAAAGGTTTAATATTCCAGCATTTTAAATGTTGTCACGTGATAGAGTGACCATAGACGGATTTGGATTAGTAAATGGATTTATTGAACATTTACAGATCGTAACTACAAGTAACTATAGCGCTATCGCTAATTCACACACTCTGCAGTTCACTACACCACGTATTAAGACTTCTCAACCTGCTCTATCTTCACCGGTTGTCGCCTGGTAACGGCTTCCAACGCCATAGCTTCCTCAGCTTCCGTGTTCACGTCCTTACTGGCCGGTGACTGTTTCACAACTAACTCATTGCTCCAAGTGACTAACCCCAAAGATGGCGGCCATCTAACACCAACCTCTCCGGGTGACAGGGACTAGCTCTATCTATTGGACCCAACTGAGTAGGTTTTACCTGAACGCGGGGACAAAATCCAGTCTCCGAAACGTTGTGTTTTGAAAAATAAACAGGGCGGTTTTTTTAGAAAATAGACAGGACGACGAATAATGTCCAAAAACATAATACTTATTGTCTTTTTAATTCTGCTACTCTATTTGTAACCCCCTTCCCTTTTCTGTCCCGTCTGTCACCTGTCAGAATTGTCTCGTCTTTATGTAGCAGTGTTAACCAACCTTTCCTTTCCGTTTGGCCTCCCCGATGCACAGACACAAACGTCATTCGTTGATGGTAGTGGCATCCCCTTGTTTTATAAACAGCTCATACACTTTCCCTGCTTCCTTCCGCCCTTCGTCTAGACCCAAAATTTGCACCCCTGATACCAACCTTCATTCTGCTAGTCAAGTACTCAGTTGTTCTGATATTTCGATCTCACCTTTGGTGTCCTTGCTAATTTCCTTCAGATGTCCCGATGAGGTCATTGGATTTTTTTTCAATTAACCTAATCCTTCCAGCGGCACTATGGTCCTGGGTTTACTCAGCCTCTAACAGAAATGAGTACCAGGAATTAATTAAATAATTTTCCTGGGGAGTAAAGCGCGGCCGGCGCGTAAGGCTGACAACCTTACCGCCATCTGTGAGCCGACTGTCTAGATAATGTGGGACCCTTAACGTCTCACAACCCTACGGGCCTTCAGGGCCTGGTACAGGGATAGCTTTAATTTTTTTACTTTTTTTACTACCAATTTCCATTCCTTCTCCCGTTTGTCTCTACTATCGAAGGTTACGCCTAAGCATTGATGTTATTTCTTACCCCTATTTCATTTTTTACCAGTCTCGTTTTTCAATCCTTGCTTAATTTTTCTCCTTTCTTAAGCACTACTGCATTTATCCTCTCCTTATTTACCTTCATATTCCAATATTTTCAAAATTTTCACAACTGTTTACTCTCTAAATACCTACACTAGTTATTGCACCTGCCGCCAGAGTATCTGCGAAGAGAAGTTACTTGGAGAAGATAAGATTTAAGCCTTCAGTACAGGTTTTCCTGACAAAAAATGGGTCTATCTTCTTGTAATTTATCGGTTTAGCCCTACTTTTATTTTGGCTATATCCAGAAATGCTTAAATTAGGGGACGTAGAACATATTCCAAAATAGAGATTATTTCTAAGAAAGAAATACGCCTAAACCAAATGTACACGTATTGCGACTTCTTCAATACGTGTAACAGTTGTTCTCTGCTGAATTATGAGCTCATACTCGGAAAGCTTCAAGTGTTGAAGAACCATTTACAGTCCGAATTGTGTATGATTCGTCCTTCTGTAATTGTTGGATGTTAGTGACCGGTAGTTTGGCGTCGTGAACTGCTAGGAAGGAGACAACAGCCGCGGAGTAGGCACAGAAGATCACGAATCCCAGCGTGTAGCTCAGAATGTACACGAGCCGACACTGAAAGGACAGTGGCGTGCTGGCCTGACCTGCAATGAAAAACGAGACTATAATTATATTAGAGTCAAAGTTAGATTAGAGCTGAACTTGAAATATATGTTGCTGGACTTGACTGAACGAGGAAATAGAAATGGAACCCGGTCCAGTATCAGTTTACTTTAACGAGCTTGCTTGTTCAGTAATTAGGTAGAACTTGGCAGAATCTGAAATATAAATTATGTTAAGATAAGTATGAAATGACCGGTCACGGTAGCCGAGCGGTCTAAGGCATGTACTGTCTTCGCTCGCTTGGAAACCGGGATCTTGGGTTCGAATCCCACTTACGGCATGGATATTTAGTTTGTGTATGTGCGTTTTTCTGTGTTTGTGTACAGGTAGAGGCCTTGCGACGAGCTGATCACCCGCCCAAGGAGTCCTACCGAATTTGTAAGATCTAGAAAAATCCTAAGTGAACGGAAAAGTTCATGGAGGTAGGCCTAGGCCCACTGGGGCTGTAGTGCCAAGGAAAAAGAACAGAATGAAATGACCATCAAGGGCGCAAAATATTTTAATGATTAAATAACTACGCAAAATTAATTTAGAAACTTAGATATTGTGGCATATTTGCCCTATGTAGGGACTAATAGCTATTTAAGAAGGGCTTTGTTCCTTGGAATCACTCAAATAGTCAGTGAACACAAGCTACAATTCGATGACAGAACGTGTCAGATTAATTCCTCATGAATTTAACTGTTACACAACTTTCATGTTACATTTGTGTTGTTATATACGTATAATCATGACGTGTCAAAACTCTGCAGCAACACTTTGGCCACATTGGAGTTATAACCAACTTCGCAACTACAACTCGCATTAATCAACATAATGGACTAAGCTCGTGGCCTGTTTGCGTCATGTCGATTTAAATTTTCCCGTCTTGTCACGTTACTGGCACCTGACCCTGACTCAAGACAATTGCCTTAAATAATGCATTTATTGACGTTTATCAACTGCTGTTTGCGGATCACAGTGGCAGCGTTGTCTAAAGCATTAATTTCCTCGCCCTCTCGAAAGCTGGGGATGTGGGTTCGAATCTCATTCGAGGCATGGATATCTATGTGCTTTTATTCTGTTTGTGCTGTTCTGTGTGTAAGTAGCTGCCTTGAGATGGGCTGGTCCCCCGTCCAAGAGCCCTACTGACTGTGTATAGAATTAAGAAACTGAAAAAATAAAAGCGGCCAGGGCCCAAAAAAGGGCTGTAGAACCATTGATGGATGAATGAATCAACTGTGCTTGTCGCGCAAGATGCAGGTGACGATGGAAACTGTTGAGGCACTGTAAACAAATGGACTACGAATATGTCTGCCCGAAGTAGTTCATTCATAGTGACGAATTCTTCAACCATGAAAACAATCCTTTGCTAAAACTTCGGAACATGCAGCCGGGAATACTTTTCGCTTCGCATTCCCACTAAGTCGTACGCAGAGAGCCAGGAAGGGAAGGTAATGATGTAAAAGAGGAGAGGAAACTATTTTAGATTCTGTAATTTAAATAAGTTAAAAGTTAAAAAAAAGAAGAAACCTAACCTTTTTATCAAAAACGGATCATAACTGTCAGTCAGGAAGTGTTAGTGTCGAGCCCCAATTGTTTGACAGTTACGGTCTTGTTTTTGTGGAACGCCCTCTCTGATGAGAGGACGGGTCTGTCTTTTGTATATGCTGCTGGCCCTTGTCAGCGCAGTATTTCTCGGGACCGCGTCCCTTGGGACTCGCGACCATATTTTACTGTCTCAGAATCGAGACTTCCCTTTTCGTCGCCTCCTACGACTGGCAGGGTCACGGTGGAGGTATTCGACCCAGCCTCCACACGGGTATCTCTCTGATCTCTGTTCTGTTTCTAACTGTCGTTATATAGCTTGGACTGACCACGGACAGAAAACATTGCCTCTATAGTTGAAACGTGTTTACCGAACGACTGCACAGCAACGGCCGCGGCACGGGACTCCATAGAAAGCCAGTTACGTGATAGTTACCTCGCTAGTTGATTGGGGCGCTGACTGTTGCCTAGCAACGAACTACATTCCCTACACAACGGACAATACTTTGTAAGATGAAGCACTGACTAAATAATTAATATTAATATTACTACATCTACATCACGGGCCTCCAGTAACAGTTTTTATATTCATTCATCAGTAATCTGTCAAGACGACAGGTCCACAGTTTCTTCCAAAACAATTCCTCCACTTAATGCGATCTCAAGCTTTCTCCTTCAATTAAAATATCCTCTTCTGTCCCCAAGGTCATCCAGCATCTTCTTGCGCTCCCTTCGGTTACAATTTTTCGGTGTCTACTTGAGGTCGGAGCTTGTCCGACAACGTCCCTCGTACACGTTACTTAGCGTCTCTCGCGAATGACTGGAGAATTCTCTCCTTTAAAGCGGTCTTAACTGATAGCATTGTGAAATGGATCGAAGTTTTCTGAATGCAATGCATTATGTACCAAGAAGAGAACTTGACACTGAAACGGCTTAGATTGGACTAACCCCTACACACCCTACAATCCTTATCCCACTCATTGTACTGAGCCAGATCACTGCGCCTCATAATGCAAAAGGCAAAGTCCTACCTACAATACAGAGTTCAAAGAAATGTCAAATCAGCACCGGATTTATCTCTACCTTGTGAACAAAAGACAGCTCCAAATGTGGCTAGAAGCCAGTCTTGCAACGTCTGATCTCTCGGCTCTTCCTTCCCTTGTACGAGTCCGACTTCGAAGTAAATCTTAAGAGCGAAGGCCATGACTACAACATATATCGTAATGGCAGTCCACAGCCCGGTACTGAAGGGTCGCAGGAAATTATCCCACGAGACGTTCACCTCTCCTGCTCGGATGACCACTTTGTAGCTGCACAAAGGAAGTAAAGCATTCACAAACAATACCGTGGCGCTACCGAACGTAGCTGTGACGTAGAGGCTTTACTTTGGTGCATAAAACTCTACTAAATAAAAATTTAAAATGTGAGTTCCTACCTTGCACGAAACACACTGTGATTCCCTTAAGGTTCGGCCACACAGAGCGCTACGTACGCTATGTTCGCTATACGAACAGAAAAATATCTCCCTTTATTGCCAATGTGACTGGCCACACAGACTTCCGTACGCTACGTACGCTATGTTCCCTATGTTAGCTGCGTCGCAGAGTGTACACAGCGTACGTAGCGTAGCGCTCTGTGTGGCCGAACCTTTACAAGACCAACTAGTCAATGCTAAGCAGGGGATGAGCTAATTGTTCAGGGAATCATAGAAATCCATGAATGCAGAGTGTGGGCAAAATTCATAGTTTCTTAATGCTACGGTATTTACGATCCTGTGCTTCAAAAGGTTAGCTGGAAGAACGTAATATGCAGGAATACCTCGCTAATCTCCGTTTTCCATTTATATGCGGTTTTGTCGAGAGCGTTATTTTGTTCCATGTCCCCGTCAATTTCAGTCTGTGCATACAAGAAAAACTCAAAGAGTTTAGCGAAAGATATCCAACTTTATGTGAGGAGGGGCTGCGATAGTGTCCAAAATAGTTCTCTGTCTTCAAGATTACCATTGCACAGTTCCTTCTTAACTCACTATTAGTAGTAGTAGTAGTAGTAGTGGTAGTAGTAGTAGTAGTAGTGCCGGTCACGGTAGCCGAGCGGTCTAAGGCATGCGCGTAGAAACCGGGATCGTGGGTTCCAATCCCACTCAGGGCATGAATGTTTAGTTTGTGTGTGCGTTTTTCTGTCTTTGTGTACAGGTAGAGGCCTTGCGACGAGCTGATCACCCGCCCAAGGAGTCCTACCGAATGTGTAAGATCTAGAAAAACCGAAGTGAACGGAGAAGTTCATGGAGGTAGGCCTAGGCCCACTGGGGCTGTAGTGTCAAGGGAAAAAAAGTAGCAGTAGTACTTTAATTATGGGAGACCGAATAGCGTAGTCGTTATAGAGACTGGCTACTAACTGGACGACTGAGGGGTCGGTGTTCGAGTCCTGTTAAGCGCCGGTTCTGAGACCCACCCAGCCACCTATCTAATGGGTACAGGAGGTTCTTTTTCCCAGGTTAAAGCGACAGGGGCGTGGAGCTGACCACTCATCTCCAAGTAGTGCCGAGATCAAGAAATTATGGATCTATACATCCACTCCCCAATACGCTTTCATGATATAGTGCTTAATTAGTTAATCACGAGGACAACTTTACCTTTTTACTTTGAATACAGTGAAGGGGCAGGAAACTTAGTTTTTGCAGACCAAACTAACGCCAGCCTCGTCTCTCCCTCCAAACGGATTTCCATGCGGTGAGCGAAGCGCTGTCCTCACAGATGTGTTGCTCTGAGCAACGTGACGTCTTGTCTTTGCACTGTTGGTCGCTCTGCGCTGCACTCCACTGCACTTGTGTGTGAGATCTGAGGTCCTCGCCGCTGTTCCTAACTCCTGAGGTGTTACAATATGTACTCTGATAGATCGGTACCAACGTTTCGGAAGAACCAGCTGTCTTGATCTTCTGTCCCTTGAATGTCTCTAGGCTTCTCAATATCGCTTGTTCTCTTGCACACATCCCTTTATGGCGGGAGCAGTTGACCTCGAGTTCTACGGCATGAGATATACGTCCAGAGCCACATACCCAAACCCCACATCTACAGAGCACGGGCGTTCTGAAGAAATGTGTCCCAAGTCTGATAATTTTCCCTTGTCTCTTCGCAAAAATAGTTTTGTGTTTCTGCTAAGCACTCACCATAAAGGCGTATGGGGGAGTGGATGTATTCTTGACCTTGGCACTAGTTGGAGGTGAGTAGTTAGATTTACGCCCCGGCCACTTTAGCCCCGAGGAAAGAGCCCCCCTACCCATCGAATAGGAGGTTGGGTTGGTACCACAGCCGGTATGGCCGAAGTGGAGAGGAGAAAATACTTTCCTCTACCGGTACTCGAACTCAAACCCCCGGCCATCCAACCCGCAGCCAGTCGCTATACAAACTGCACTGCCTCGACTCCCGGCACAGTGGAGTAATCGAGTATTAATCGATGACGTACTCAAACAATGCAAGTAATTATAAGAGGTTTGCTGAGTGGGCCCCTCGTCATCACGGCATGGCGCGTCCTCAGGTTCTGGATGGATGAGACGGCCTCCAGAAATGGAGGATAGCTACGAATAAGCAGTTGCGGAGAGCCGAAAATAGATGGTCCTCCAGCTGGGTTTTGAGTGTGGGGACAACAACTCCTCACCGTAAAAAATAAACTTGTTACGAAACGTGTACAAGGTAATGAACCTTCCAGTTCCATAACATTCTGGGAAGTTCTTGAGTAGCTGCACAACTGGCGGCTTCTCTCAGGAACGGCGAAGCTCTACGAAGTTAGTTGCTGAGTGCAAAACGTAATTTTGCGATTTATTTTGGGACTAAGCATAAGTACTTGAAGTTGTTATGTAATTGTATACTACGTAGAAAGCTTAATGACTCACTGAAAGGTCGCCACTTGCATTGAGTACGAGAGAACTCCCACGCGATCTGATGTCATGGTGACGTCACTGACTCCCACTTCAGCTTCACGCCTGGTGACCATTCCAACCACACCATTCCACGCACCGTTGTCGTCTTTGCTGCCCCACAGGCCAGTTGCAGGCACAGAAACTGTAGATCTGTCGTCACAGACAATTAGCAATGAGCACAGTTTGTGACTTGGTCTCAATCGATTAACAGTTACACAATCCATTCATAACTGTGAGCTTACATAACAAATTGTTCCCCTCCTTTTCCGGTACATGTACAAAACTACAAAGTCTGACGTCTGACGCCCGCATATCTCACATTGAAAACACGAAAATACACGTTTATAATTAATCATAAAAATAATCCTTATATGTTAGCGTAAATTTCTTTGAAACCTGAACGTGAAATTCTTGAAGACAAACCACATCAAAAATGCCCGACCTCAGTAACCTGAAGAGAGAGGCATATTGTACTGTGATCCTAAACTTGATAGGATTAGAATATGCTGCTTCTACTTGGATAAAATGCTTCCAACAAACTTCGCTTCTAAAAAGCAAATTCCTAGAAAAAAAAAATCTAACCACTCTTTCTCTTCAACTGCCAAAATACCATCAAAGTGCAAATTATTTAGTTCGTCACTGAACAACAGAGACATGTTTCCTTCAGCCACATCTGATACCTGAGCGAGTATCCATGCCGAAATTCACGTAGTGAGCGCGCGTAGCGGCCAAATAATCTCACTCATAGCCACTGACATACTTGGTTCCGCCGAAAATAAGTAATTTATAAAGTATCTTACTTGAAGTTCAGATGTCGTTCTAAGACGGCCCATACTTTGCCATAAAAGCCACCAATGATGTCGTTATTCACAGAAACCAGATAGGAATTCTGGAACACATCAGACTCTCTGTGAAATATTGTCTGTCAAAATGTAATGTACAAGTATAATTAGTATTTCAAACGCAAAATGTGAATTTCTGATGTTCGTTCATTATTTTCTTTAAGGGAACACTGCATACTTTCATTTTCAGCTATGCTGCGCTGGAATAACATACAAGACATATTAGTAATATTTATATTTTTGGGTTACATGAAATTAAAACCACGTGTATCAGAACATAAACCTACATACACAACATCCAAACAAGTTCTTCGTGTTAAAATGAAACGTTACTGCAGTTGACTTTAAATAAGTCCATGCTTGTATGCAATCATAACGCCAGCTTATCGCTTCGAAGACCAGGGTTTAAACCCCAGAGCAATTCTTGTGGAATTCATGATAAAAATAATAATGCGAGAGATTTTTGCCTGAATTCAGTCTCGAGGGAAGTAATGTGACAGGTACGACCGGAAGGCACATCGCCACCATCTTGGTGAATGACATCGTATTCATTTCTGACCGTGGTTCGCGTCTTATGTTGGCAACAATGCGTCACTTACCCTACGGCGCTGTAAGATCTAGCTCGCTATTTGACAGTGATGTTTTCGATAGTCCCCACGTTTTGTATGTTAAGCGATGGCGTTGGAAGGAGCCGTGTGTACTGTAGAGAAATAGCTTGCGAGTTGATTTCTTGTTCGACCGGTGCACTAAGCCAATATGTTTTTGATTTGAGGTTCTCACAGCTGTGGCTTAATTCCATGAAGCACAATAAAATTCAAGAGACTCTTCCGGAGGAACACATCGTCTCCATCCCCTCGGATGAAAATAAGCCTAGCAAAACCTACAGAAGCTGCTTGCAATGAAGGTTAAGATTATATGTGCCTCCGAAACATGGGGCGATCTCCGAAGTACACGCCATATGCCGCGCCATAGCTCAAGCGGTTAGTCGCTGGCTTCCAACCGCGGCGGGTCTGGTCAAGTGGGATTTGTGGTGGATAAAGTGGCGCTGGGGCAGGTTTTCTCCGAGTTCTTCAGTTTCCACTGCCAATCTTCATTCCACCAATTGCTCCACAATCACCCTCACCTATCATCTGGGGCTGGTACAATAGGCCAGAAGTGGCCGCAGTAAAAGGAACTCAGTCCCACCCCACTAGCAATAAAAAAAAGTACACGCCGTCACAAGAGTACACTTCATAGTCACTGCAATGAGAACATGAAATCCTGCGTACTTTACAAGTGGAATTCTGACGGGCCTGCTGATTCAAACGGAGATCAGTGGCTACTCACGTTGAGGCTGGCCGTCTTCATCACGTATCCTCCCAGCGATCTCCTGCGGTGGTAGACGTGTGCTGGGCTGTGCAGAGGCCCGTCACGTGTTCCAAAGAGTTGAACCCGAAGTGGAGTGTCGGGCGCAACTCGATACACTTCAAACAGCTGCATCTTTATGTCAGCAAGCTGTACCACTAGAAACTGCACGTCAAACCGGATGTTGAGGTCCCCTACCAACTCCTTCAGGGACTGTCCCACATCTAGAAACGCCAGCCATACCATTTTGTCCCGTTTACAATTCTCCAGCACCTACGAGTGAAATGAAAAGGATGAAATCAGTAGCGTAATTATCAACAGTCTTCGTAATAAATATCACGCTTCGTCCCTCAGTAAAGGTAAGATATAATTGCGACCGAAGACATGAAAAAGGAAAACAAATGCAACAGACTCTTGTTATTATAAGTTTATAATGAGTCATTGTATTAACATAAGCAGAGGCGAGTCTCATTCTTCGAATTCTGCTTCTTAGAAAGGAGAGGTCACCTCATTTACAGGCCCTTAAAAATAAACTGAAGAAGATGACTATGAGGAAATCTAGCTGCTAATTCTAACGATATTTGCGAAAATATTAAGAATTATATTTAAGGTAATTCATTTTGTCTTCATTATTTCTTAATGTTATAGTGTGTACTTCCTTTTGCTTATACACCTTAGAAAAAAATTATTTATTCAATTTTGATAAAGAAATTTTTATTATTCCCTCATTGGACAAATATGGGATCATATATTATTCGTGTTTATACGGCATTTTTGGTTGGCTACTCACAGGTTTAAATTGACAGCAGTAGATATGGAACTTTATGTATAATTCTTATGGAAGAGCATTTAAGAAAGAATATTAAGAATAGTACTGAGACACGCAGAATATTAATTGTGTGGTAAATAGAACGGAAAAAATTTCACAATAAGGGCTGTGTGAGGTATACTAGTTCCATTCCTTTGTTGCAATACGTTGACTGTGGGATGAACATAGAGCAAAAGACGGACGAAAGGAGGGCAATATTTCGTTTTATGTTTGGCAGTCTGATGGAAAGAGCATACTTGAAAAACGTGGAAATAAATGTGAGAAGTAACAGCTTTATGTATCTTCCCAATCCAACGCATTGACCTCCACTGGATTGTTTAAGCGAAAGGTTTGTGGCCCCAAGACTTCAATTTATGCATATCAGAAGATTGTAACATCAGATAGGAGGATGTGGTATTGTAGGGCAAGTCATCAATGTACCGGCAGATGTGAATAATATGATAACGACATTACCGATGCAATTGGACGACGATTATAGATTTAACGTCCATTTGAAGAGAAATTTAATTCACAAGAATACGCACTTGCAAGGATGTATTAAAAAGGTAACAGTTGAACGATGATTGGAGCATTTGATACAGAACCCCCTGTACAAACGCTACAACACTAAGATAGATCCAACATTCTTAAATGTGGATAACATGTCCAATGATACTTATGAATTAGATTAAATCAATCAACATTCTAACGACATCGAATTCTTAATTGCCCCAAAACCCACGCTCTTATTAATTGAAGACAAATACTTGGAAATATCTCCAGGTCAAAACAACAAAACTCTTAGCATTATATACAATATGCATGCCGAAGAGCTATCGTTTCCGAACATGAGAGTATACTGGGGGCAAGCCAGAACCTTTAAGACCAATGTGAAAGTAACTCCATTTAAGAATACACTTGGTCGTCGATACGACCGACTTCCGTTCTGACTGACAGGTCGTAAGTCGATCTGGTCGTATGTCGACCATATATTAATTAACAGTACTTTTTAACCTTTCTAATCTTTTTATCATCTTTATACTTTATTTTTAAAAAATTTTCATTTTAATCATCTTTTATTTTTCATTTTAAATACAATAATGTGTTTATCTTTTACAGTAGACTCTCGATTATCCGCGCGCTGTTTAACCGCTTTGCGGCTCAACCGCGGCAATGTATTTTTAAAGATTTTTTTTTTTCAGTGAGTATCACATTTGTTTAAATGTTTTGTATGACAGTCAATGTTAGTTTACTATAATTTAGAGAGAACTGTACTCGCATTTACGTCATCCATCGATATTCTCCCGTTATTTTTCTTAAAAGCTCGAAATCAGGTTTCGAAAGCTCGAAACCTACCCTTTTTCCAACAAGTAGAGAATGTTAAAGAACCTTGACCAGCAAGGAGCCATAAATCTGTCTGGTGTGAGACCTCAATTAGCAAAGGGACCAACAAAGACCAAACTCAGGCACCAGTCAATCTGTAGTAGTGGGAGGAAGGAGAGTTCTTTTGAAAGAAGAGTACGATCCTGTCTGTCACTGAACTGCATTCTTCAGTTGTTATTAATACAGTAGGCAGTTCAGTTGTGTGGGAAAATACAATTTAAGTTTTTGTGCGAGAAAGTGCCGAATTACCATTGTTTTTTTTATCATTGTGACTGGTTCTTCAATAATTTAAAAATAATGGAGCAGAAAAGGAAGCGTGTAGTTTTAACAATTAACCAGAAACTCGACATAATTAAGAAGCTTGAGCAAGGATGGTCTACCAGAAACCTAGCTTTACAATATTGTATAGGTGAAACAACAGTTCGCGATCTCAGAAAAAATAAAGATAAATTGATTAATTACGCCAGTAATTTTGATTCATCGAGTGGCTTATCAGGCAGAAAAACAATGAAACTGCCAACTTATGATGAGCTTGACAAAGCAATGTTGCAATGGTTTAACCAACAAAGGGCACAAAACATTCCTGTTTCAGGAATTATCTGCGCAAAACAGGCAAAACTATATTTTAATGCAAGGATAAGCAATTCATCTGCTCTTCAATGGACTGAGGGTTTGCTAGAGTTTCTGGAGCAACAAAGCGATTCTCTGCTTTCTGACAAATTGGTGTTACGCAGATTGAGAGCAACCATAAGGAAGAAAGAAGCCATGTCATTGAAACAGAAATCAATAACAGACTACTTTTCCTAAACATTCGTAGTTTTTGGTATTCATTCATCTTCCTTTATTTTAGTGCACAGTACTGTATAATGGTATTAGATTCAATTATTTTCGTGTTACGGCATTAGGATATTAGTGTGGTTAAAATTACAGTGTAGGTGTATTTCAGTGTATAAATCTACAATAGAACAGTTTCAACTATAATAGGCTATGTACCGTACTTCAGAAGCTTTATAATGAAGAACCATTGGCCTGCATCACAAAAGGTAAGCTTAAGTAGCGTTTTATGGTGTAAAAAATTAACGATGTTAAATTTATACCGGTATATCTGGCTTGTATATGTGTACTTCGGTTTATCCGATGTTTTTGATTATCCGCGCCAAGTCTCCCCGCCATTACCGCGGATAATCGAGAGTCTACTGTACTTAGCGCTACTGTACACATCTTCGTTTCTACGCCTAGGCTAGCTGTACATACTGTGGTCGTAAGTGCGGCCGGTCTAAGTCGACGACCAAGTGTAACTCATTTCCCTCCTAACTGCTCCTGCTCTCACGAACAGCTATCGCAATCCAGAAGGACCTGGCCAACAACGATTGTGATGGGCTGATATCTGATCAGTAATCACCTTAGCTTCTGGTTTTGCAGAGCTGCGGAACCAGAGACATTACACCGTTAGTATGACCCCTCCACGACTGACATTCATATTACGGTGAGAAGCAACGTCGTGCTACCGGAAGTCACGTAAAGTTGCCTACAGAAGTTGTCCCCTTTTCAACTCCTGGGTGGGACAAGACTGAGTTAAATTGGTACGTCGACCACTAATTGGCCTAATGTACCAGCCCCAGATGATAGATGAGTATGCAGCATTTGGTGGAATGAGAATTCGTAGGGTAAGCCAAATTACTCGGAGAAAACCTGCCCCAGTGCCATTTTATCCCCCACAAGTAACACATAAACTGATATGGGATCGAACCCGGGCCATCACTGTATAAAGCCGGCGACCCGCCTGAGCAATGGTACGACCTTCTCAAGGTATAATAAACCCCCAAAGAGTATTCTAGTCTTACGCTGGACAGGAATGCAGGTTCTGCAGCCAGAAGAACTGCTAGCTGTCTGCTTTTAGTGCACTGCATCAGCTGCGGTGAACTGCTTGCACGTAACTCTGCCGTGGGAATATTCCTGGTGTTCAGGTACCTCGCCAATTCCATTAACATCATTTGGTTGTTCACTGTAACAAAAGAGCAGCAGTAAAGTTAGCCTGAAAAAGGAATCTTGAGCGAAATGTCAGGAAAAAGCGTGTGGACATTTGTCTGGTGCGTATACAATAGAGCCGTCTAAACTGCGTTTAATTCTGTGAGATGTGAAGTCTTCATAGCAATGAGTATCAAGACCAATGTGTTCTGAGGTGGGAGCCGTGTAATTGGTGGATATGCGGTTGGGTTTTGGAGGAACGTGCTGCTTAAATTGTCACGGTAAAAGAGGATTGTCCGGTTTATTTGGGAGATGTCCTGTTATCCGGGAAAATATTAAACCGGACGGAGAACAGTGCTATTTATTTTACAACAATGTAATTTTATTTAACTGTTCTATGGAAATTTTCTTGCATTCTTATTTCGTAAGTTGTACTGTTCTCCTATAATGTTGCACCGATAAGGATTCATGTCGGTAGTTCAATAATTACGTATTCCTATCTTGTATATCTGCCTGATGATGGTCTTGTACGACAGAAATTTATAGCAGGAATAAAATATCGAATTGTAAAACATGAAAACAGTATGGTTTTGTTGTGTTGTGTTGTGTTGTGTTGTGTTGTGTGTATGTGTACCCTTTATAATGGTCATCTTTGACACAATGATATTAAGTAGGCAGTAGATTAAATTAAAGAATTTGAGGCAGGTTCGGTAAGGAGTTGTAATAAATGTATATCCAATTTTGGTTGGACATATTCCTGGGGGTTGAAAATTTGTAAATTGCAAAATATGCTCAATTAAGCTGATAATATTAAAGTAAATCTTGAGTACTTATGTTGAGATGATGCCAGTTAGAGTAAAGAGCCGATGACTGATGAAACTTCCGAATGTCACATCTTCTCGAGGAGCTCTGCTACTTACATGAATTATGAAGACTGGCATTGTGAAAGAAGAGCACTGACTTTAGTTGTAAATGCCGTTTCAGCTTGACAATGACTTCCCCTCGTTGTACTGTGAGATATGATTTCTCCAGGTCGGCGTGTCCTGCCAGTAGCAGGCAGAGGACCACACACTGCTTTATCATGGCTCGCCGCGCCAGTTACTAATGTCTCTATGCGTTCAGTCTAATGGTTTCCATTAAGCCTTTTTCCGTTGTCGAAAACGTAGCTATGTCTCAAGTGCTTTAACATCATATAATACAACACAATAACTAGAACGGACAACTGATAGAATTTAAATTATCGCTAATATATATTCATGGTCTGTTTCGCACTGTTAACATTTTCAAGGTTCACTTTTGGATTACATTTATACTTTTGGGTGTCTAGAATATTTTGTTCTTTAAGTGTATTGCAGTTTTATCAGAGATGGCATGACAATGTAAAGAAAATATTTGCATTTAGGATGAACATATTAATGTTGAGAACGTCAAATTGATGAATAAGATATTTCAGCCCATATTTTGTTGTTTATTCTTTCAGTTTAAGTTAAGTAAATATGAAGTTATTCTATTCAGAATGACGGGATGTCTATACTCTATTCGTAATTTCCTGAGGTGTATGTTAGCAAACTACCGGCGACAGGTCCTATCGTATTCGCTCCTTATTTTATTATCGGGGTTGTACCTTTCGCTCGATACAGACGATGACAGGAATAGCCAGTGGGCTATGAACTACTTTTTTAACTTATTATGGTAATTGCTTCTGGTATACGGGAAGTCCATAGATATTGTGAATTTAGTATGGATATTTTTTGGTCAGAATAATAACCATCTTATCAACTGTGGTTTTTTAACAACACTAGATCACATTTTTTATGGATATTCATGATTCGAGAAGAATAAGATGAAAGTTCGATAGTTCGTGTGCGCCTATATTTTATGACTCGACGACAAAGGAATATTTTTCTATTTACACTTAAATTCATCGAAATAACTGCTTTTTAGAATCCTCGACATCAACACAAAATAAAAAGTGAATAATTTATAAAACTCGTTTCTTCCATAACAATATTGTACAGCAATCAATTTCTGTTATGAACTCACTCATATACGTTTTACAGTAACAACTTTAGCAGCTCCTCTCTGCTTCACCCTACTCTCTACATGCATTAATCCCATGTTCCATCATTGTGTTCACAGTGCTCGCTAGATGGAATGGGATGTTCAGACTTAAGCAGTTTATCCAATAATACAAATGTGCACTGCAGTAGCTGCAAAACCACAACTACTTCCACCTTGGCCGGAAAACCGATTAACATGAAGTAATCACTCGGAGCCGTCGGTCTACCCAAAACCTTTGCAAGATGAGCCCTCTTGCCCTCAACGGCCGGAGCGAAGAATCGAAACGCAATTTGGAGAAACTAGATGAAAACAGAATTTTGCAACCCACTTCAGCGTCGGATGGTACGCAACGGACTACTCTCATATGTCCACCCGCACGGAAGGAGGTCTTCCTTTCCAAACATGGTAGAAAGGGGAGAATAAGGAGACGATAACGGGCAGGAAGACGCTACTCCTAAGCCGTCCGGATAGAGAACATGGCTCAGTTTCACTGAGTCGACTATGAAGATTTCTTATGTCAGATGCTTTTCCTTTCTGCTTGGTGAGCGTGTTAATCCATGCGTGTGTGTGTGTGTGTTCGTGACAGAGAAAGGAGAGTAACGCCTTCTTTGTCCTACATGTCTTATCACAGAGGAACAATTTTCCTTACTACCTTTATTGCCTTTGTTTAATTTGCTTTACTTTATTTTCCTTCTTCGCACTTGACCCCATCCAAATATTTTCCTACATATTTTCAGGGCAGTTTATTACATATCATTCTACATGCTGGCCGTTCCATAGCTCAGTCGCTGTCTTCCTACCGCGACGGCCTGGCTTCGAACATAAATCGAGTCATGTGGGAATTTTGGTGGACACAGTGCTGCTGGTGCAAATTTTCTGGAATACTTCGATTTCCCCTTGCAGTTTTTATTGTATCAACTGCCCCCACATTCATTAGTCATATTATTAGGGAAGCTACGTAGTCTCGATACTGACGGTGCCGTGAAATAGCCAACTTGAAGTAGTTCTCAAGACCACTCAAATCCATGGAACTATTTAGTTAGTTAGTTAGTTAGTTAAAGTAAATACGACAGTTTCCCATAGTCCTAATGTGTCTTCTGTTCATGTAAATTTTATGTTCTGCGCAGGGCCAAGGAAAGCGTCAAGCCCCAGGAAGAAACAGCTCTGCTTCGTGCTTGTCTTTCGCTGGTTTCGTGTTTACTCTTCGACCTTGAAGATGCAGGCGGTAGGTTCCTCCAAAACGTCAGAAAGCTTTTACCAAACTACACGGTGTCACATCATTCTTCATAGTCACCGACAAAGGAACTTGAAATCCAAGATAAAAAATATTTACTTGAATTACATATAACATAAGAATTATACTTGATTAGCAAAATTCGGAATGAAGTTCACAAAACAACGTTTGTATGGACTCTCAGTATAAATGTTGCAGAAATCCATGCAGTAAATTGATAGCTCTGATAGCGGAAAATGGCTTTGGCAATGAATATTTTGACGAAAAAAAAAACATTGCTAGATAACTTTTTAGTAAATATATTCTTGAGGTGACGTAGTCAACAGACGGACATCCGTTGCTAGGTAGCAAGTCCCCAAACACAGGCTCCCGTGACAAGGAATATTGACAAAAACATTCCAGTGAAACGGGGGGAAAAACAGAGGAACCGTTTGAGATCGTGGCCCATATTAGGGCCGCCATGAAGTTATAAAAAGATCGTAATTCTTTCGTAGGCTTGATTTATCAGACAGACGTCGTTCAAGGCAGTTCAGTGTCTGAGCAGGAATTCTTCGTTCGTCATTCATCACAGAGGAAGAGAAAACACTCGTAGTCCAGTAAGGAATGGAGCGAGTCGTAGGCAGCCATTGTTTGTGAGCTGTTATATTTAACTGTAATTGTAAACAAGTGCCCCTAAATCAAATCATCCTACCAGAATCCATTATTATTACTCAAGAAACCCCCGAATACGTGACAATAAAAAAGAAACCAGGGGAAAATATCTACATAAAAGTCCATTGAAGAAAAAAATGTTATAAAAGCAACGTAAATTATTCTAAATAGTATAGGAATTGCATGAAATGGCTGCCACTCTGACATGGTCTGTAGATGAGGGACAACATGATAGGCAGACAGAAACAGTCTTGTCGAACAAAGAGACGGAGGAGTCAGGATAGGCGAGACGTCCAACAGAGGGCAGATCAGTTCCTAGCAAAAATAGCATCAGCACATAGGAAATCGAATATAATAAAACGCCAGACAAAATAAATTTAAAGAAATAAATTGAAAGTCAATTAATTCTTTTTTTTAGAACAGCGGCCATATATTTATTAGGCGCTGCTAACGAAAACTAAAGGGAAACAGTAAAGACAAGAAGTTGTGGGAAGAGCTAATCGCCTTCTTTCTTTTCACTGTAATTTGAATATTTTACACGGCGAACGGAAAACAAAACAATGCAATTTTAGGGGCTGTAATGTTGGTATTACTGATGGTAGTGATCTGTGTAGCATACCGTTGAGCTATCCTCATATTGAATGATACACATAGCAAGTTTCCTAAAGATTGGTCAACAATTTGAGAGGTTACGCTGTTAAGATTACTGATCTGATGGCGGTCCTTTTCTTCGCTATAGAGAGGCAGGATCTTGAAGCTGACTGCGGCTCCATTTTATCGCGATATTAAGAATCCTGGAGTTATATCTCCGCTCCTCCATATGTCTTCGTGGTGTAGTGCTTGTTTAATTAAGCACATGGCCGCGCCATAGCTCAAGAGGTTAGTCGCTGGCTTCCCACCGCGGCGGCCCGGGTTCTATCCCGGCTCTGGTCAAGTGGGATTTGTGCGCACAAAGTGGCGCTGGGGCAGGTTTTCTCCGAGTACTTCGGTTTCCCCTGCCAATCTTCATTCCACCAATTGCTCCACAATCACCCTCACCTATCATCTGGGGCTGGTACAATAGGCCAGAAGTGGCCGCAGTACAAAGAACTTAGTCCCATCCCACTAGCAATAAAAAAATAATTAAGCACAGGCACACCTTAACCTTTTTTACCTCTACTAAAAATATCGAAAACTGAACCATTCCCGAAGAATAAGCCATAGAATTTTGAAAAATTAATCGTACTCATTTGGAATCTGAAATGTTCACGGCGACTAAATTGCCTGTGAAATCGGGCAGCCTCTACCTCCTTCAACACGCACCGAGGCATAACTTCGCGGCTTGTCTTCCTCTCTGTGTTTCCATCGTTGCTCTATGAACGCCTCTCAGATCGATTCTTTCTGTCCTCGTCACAGCCGAACGCTGCCCTGTGCGCCAGTACCTGGCCGTGACGTCACGAGTGCGACCTTGCTTGGCCCCGTGTGACCTAGTTACTAGAGGGTACGACCCCGTCCGTGACATTGCAGCCCAAATTTCAAGTTCGGGGGTAGTAAGAGGCGTGGTTCGACATAAGGGGGTTAGTTCTACCCCTTACCGCATTCCAACCCTCAACCCCTCCTATAAAATGGACTGTTCTAGATGCGTAACGCAGACCTTGGAAGAATCTATTATACGAAGGGGTTTGGCCTTCACTGAAAATCGATTGTGACGTCGAATGTGATGTCATGGATGACGTTCGGAAATTGACCATTACGTAATGGATGATGTAACATACTGAAATTGTCCACAGAACACTTCCTCTGTGACCTGGTTGTTGAAACCAAACTGCGCATTATAGCGACTTGATGGTGAGTGGACGTTTCCATAATATTAACAGAGGTTTACAGGCGCGTCTCTCTGAATTACGTGCAGTGCTAAGCCAAACATAACAAAGGACGAACTAATATATGAATACGCACTATACTTAAACAATCAGAAATATAAAACAGGCCTATTAAATTCCTTAAATTCTTGCTAAAAAAAATATTTCAAATCATTCAATTTGTGTCAAAGTATATCATCATCATCATCATCAACAACAACAACAACAACATAAACTAAATTATTAGGACCCACTGTTTCTGTTCAGACTCCTAAATGTGGTCGAAGATTCCATTCCTTGGTCTGTGTTTAGATTCGTTGCTAGGAGACGACTGGTGAAGAAAGAGAATTAGAGTGCGCGTGCAACGGTGGACTGGAAAGTGTGTAAGTCAGCAGTAGCGCTGTATCAGTTGTAATTAAGAGAGAGAGAGTGTGTGTGTAACCAAAATGCTAATAAATGCAGTCATCCGAACTGGAACCCGTTTTTTTCCGTCATGCATACCACCCTACACGTCGCAATGTTTAATTTAATCGCAGAAGCGGTGAGGCGTAATGATATGATGTTGATCAACTTCTAACTCATGTCAATTTAACCAAAACTCGTCTATTAATTTATTGTAACGAATTCGCCGGTGTAGCCAGACAGTCCGTTGACTTGTGAAGGTGACTTGTACAAGAGACGTATCAGTCCTCAAAGAAGTGGCATCCATCGCTAACTCAAGTCCTTCCTTGCACACTAGCTGGATTAAAACGGAAGTCCTCAACTTTACATCGAACATATGCATTTTTATTGGTTAATACTAATGAAAATCACGTCATATCTAATGGATTTCCACGACTGGAAGCCATCAGGACCAGGACGTGCTCAGATTTCTGGCTCCAAAACCCACACAAGAATTCCAGGTTCCTCGACGCACTCGAATACTTCGAGCCTAGTTAATAAACCAAAATTTAAACAATCTATCGAATATGCATATAATTCTGGGCTAATATATCCCCTTATAATTGGATAATGAATTTTTGGAAACGCACCAACAAATCGCTGTGACACCGTGTGTTCATTCATCTGCAGGAACGCATCTTTTTATACACAGGAACGTGGTTGGTTACTATAACTGGAAGGTCCTTCCTCTCTCTTTAAACTTTTGTCAATAATGTTCAGGGTTTCGCCTGTTTCTAAGCCTGAAGAAATTAAATAATCACAAACAGAAACTGCAGCTGATGTCTAGTGCTTGCCTTCAACAAACGCCTGAGGAGAGCAGCTATACTGGCCCGAATTACACCGGAGACTGAGAAGTAGTCGGAAAGAACAGGCGCTGGAGCAAGTTACCAGTATGCACACAAAATTACACAACAAAGGACACACTAGTACACAGTGAATACAATAAATTAAAATGTGGAGACACCTATCAGTACCAACAAAATTAGGTTACGGCAATTTCTTTTTTTTCTTCTTATTTCTTTTAGTAACAAAAATAAGAACTAAGTTTTCGGGAAGTTAGAGTGTGAAATGTCTCAGCAAAATCTGTGGATTATACGTATTTTTCGCAGGCCCTGGGGCGACGACCTTCTCGCTCCCCCTTAAATTCGGCCCAGATGTGAATATTATCACTGAATTCATACTCTTTAACTGGGTAATGTACTAAGTTCAACTGTGTTGACTGTACCTTCTCCCGGTATGTGAACTATAGAGTTTCACTAAGAACATCAGTTACATAATTTGGATATCTCTCTATCAACAGCTGTATATATTTTGACTGTAGAATTACAATAGCAATAAGCAGAACGAGGTATTTTATGTACTGCACATACATACAATAAAAATATTACCGTGCATTGTGCATATATAGAGAGTACAGGGCATGTAACACGAATAGGGGAGAAGAGAGTGCATATAGGATATTGGTGGGAAAGTCAGAAGGAAAGAGACCATTGGGAAGACCAAGGTGTATTTAAGAGAGATAGGATGGGATGGGATGGATTGAATTGATCTGGCTCAGGATAGGGACCGCTGGAAGGCTCTCATGAACAGGGCAATGAACCTTCAGGTTCCATAAAATGCTGGGAAGTACTTAAGTAGTTGCACAATTGGTAGCTTCTGAAGAAGGGCTTGGCTCCATGAGTGAGTGCTGGAAACACAGTAGGCAGGGAGGGAGGTGCATACATACACAGGGCCATAGAGAGACTGCTGCACTCGGGTATCTAGAATTTCTTCTTACGTACTACAAGCCTTAAGTAGAGCATAAACAGTATGACATAAAATACAACATCAGCAAAGCATAACCATTGACACAGAAGTACTGGGACTGCTTCCTTCATTCCACATTATCCATGTTAAATGATGCTGTTCAAGACCAAATACATGACAAGATCACCTGATCACCTGCTGTTCTCCAGGTTCATCAGAATGGAAGCAGACATTTCTGTGAAGCACTGGACATTTGATTGCACGCTGACTTGGGGATTTGTCCAAGTAGGTTTTGTTTGTAGGAATTGAGATGGGTTTCAGGTGGGTTGGAAGTTGAACACATGAATCCATGGTTTTGTCGTCTTCTGCTCCATGCAGTCTTTCTGAACCAGTGTGGCAAGAGACTGAATTTTTTGTTTTTATGGATTTAATGAAGTGTGGTAAGAGCAATTCAGTCTACTATCTCATGGTTGTATGGGGCTGTTTGTTAAAATGTTTCTGTCTGGATATGCCTATGCATATCTTGGTGCCCAAGTTGTAATGACATTTGACATGAAAGGTAAGTGAAATATATGTAATTCTTATTTGG